AGTCTGAGTGCCAGGAGGGTTCTCTTCCTCTATTAACTGTGTGAGGTCTCTCTTTTTCGACCTTGATGTCATGTAGTCTCACCTCCTCTAGCTCAAGGTCAGGAGGTCCTATTTCACTGACTGGTGTGTTAACAGGTTTCAGCTCCACTACTGAGTGTTGGGAGGCCTCACTGATTTTAACTGAGCATCAAGTTGTGCTGATAAAACCGAAAAATGTTTTGGAAGTATAGTTCAAGAAATGACAAGAATAATTCAAGAAGTGGGCCCACTGCCGTCACCAAGCGTGCCCACTTCTGTCCCCATTCCTTATTTACCTGGGCAATCCAACCTCCACCCCAGTTTTTCTCACCCCAATCTCCAATGCCCTTCAGCCCCCAATCCCCTACTCTCCCATCCTGTCCCCACCACCCTCTATGAGGAGCAGAAATCTTGTCCGTGCATCCTCAATGTCCAGGCCCATCCTCAATATCCAGCCAGCCAGGAAGGCAAGAAGATCCCAGAGGGAGTAAGAATGGTTGAGGGAGTGAAGCCTTGAGGGCGGAAAAGGGGTAGGTTTGGGGAGTCTTCACCCAGGGGAAGCAGGTGCCTCAGGAGTGGTTTTAGCAAGCAAGTGAGGATCTGTATGGCACCTTGGAGAAGGATGAAGGCCCTTTGAAGCTGTGGATAATGACAGCTTAAAAAGCAGCCTCAGGCTGGGCACAGTGGCTCACACCTGTAATCCCAGCACTTTGGAAGGCTGAGGAGGGTGGATCGATTGAAGGCAGGAGTTCTAGATCAGCCTGGGGAGCAAAGTGAGGCCCCCGTCTCTACAAAAATATTTAAAAACTTAGCCAGGTGTGGTGGCGCACACCTGTGGTCCCAGCTACTTGAGAGGCTGAGGCAGGAGGATTGCTCGATTCCAGGAGATTAGGGCTACAGTGAGCCATGATCTTGCCACTGCACTGCAGCCTGGACAACAGGCTGAGATCTTGTCTCAGAACAAAACAAAAGCAGCCTCCGTGTCCAGGTCCTGCCCCATAGTTGTCCTCAGGTCTTGGGGGTGGCTGGTGGAGATGCAGAACAGCAGAGGCCACACAATTTCAAATATTCAACATTTCCTAAGTTTCATTTCATTTTCATATTAGAAACTGAGGCCATGATAGGGAAAGGGCTGCACGGGGGGGTCAAGGGTCTGAGTGTGGGGCAGTGGGGGGCCCGACTCTCTCTGGTCCTGAATGTGTGGCAGTGGGAGGGTGGGACTCCCTGGGCTTCACAGGGAGCCCTGGATCTCCACAGGGACTCAGAGTCTGGGGCTAGTGCCACTTCTCCCCAGTGTCACCGGCCCCACCCCTGGCTAGGGTTAACCCTCAGAGTCAAGGTGTGCAGTTGTCATTCTGTCATACGCATGGACCACCTCAACTTGGTGTGTCCAGCTTCTGACACCACTGCCCCACCTGTAAGCAACTATCCCCCCTTGGGGATGTCACACCTCTGCAGCCCCTGGCCCTCTCCCAGTCCTGGGTCCTGTCCCCTCTACTTTCTCATGGCTCCCTTTGAGTGCCTTTGCCCACTCACCTTACTGTTCTCCCTTCAAGACGTAGCTCACTACCTCCTTCCACTCAGCGAGGGGCCTTTGCCCCTCCTGTGGGCTGGCCCCCCCCACAGGTGCCACCCAACCCAAGGTGGGTGCTCTAATTTGAGCTAGTACCAGGGCTGTGCAGATGCAGGGCCTAACATCTAACTTGGACTCCAGGGAGGGCGGGCCAGGGAAGACTTCCTGGAAGACAGGATCTAGAGATCAGCCTCCAAGCTATGTATGCTTGATGCAGGTGAAGAATGGGTGATCCAGGCAGGAAGAGGAGGGCGTGTGTGAGACAGAACCCTAACGTGTCATGGTGGCTCAGAGACTACAAGAGGTGGGGTGAGACTCGAAAGCAGCATGTGGAGGGAGCAGGGGATGCTGGCAGGGCCATGGCAGCACTGGCTGGGCCAGACTGGCCCACAGGGTCCATTCATCAGCTGCATTTACAGACAGGCTGTTTGTGAGCAGAGGGTAGAAATGGAAACAGAAAACCAATGAATCAGCAGGGAAGGAGCGAGGCCTGAATTTGGTCAGCAGCCATGAGTAGGACAGTTGGGAGCAATGTGAGGGGGTTCCAAGATCAGAGCAGCAGAATTTAAACACAATGGGACACTGGAGGGAGCAGGTCTTGAACCCTAGGTTTAAAATGCGGCAGGGGTCATGGAGGACACGTGGCCTCCAGCTTAGGAGGTGCTACTCAGTGAGCTGGTGAACAGAGAAAAAGCCTTCGGTGCAGACAGTACAGGCCGAGTACCAGCAGACTCGGAGAAGATGCTGGAATACGCCAGGTGCCTAGGCACAGAGGTCAAAGATGAGGATCCAGGAGTCAGCCGAGCGTGTGGTCAAACTGGGGATGTTTATATGGCCTGTATAAGGGACAAAGATAAATATCCCCTCAAGCAGGCAACTGAGACATGGTTTCATTTCTTATAAATTTATTACATAATATTATAATAATTATTATCAATAATAATAATATAAGAAACATAGATCTCTGTGGGGTGTGTATCACAACGTCAGGGTCAGGAGGCCTCAGGACTGGAGCAGGGGGTGAAACCCCCTGGATGGAACTCCATACAAAAGGAGGGTGAAGCGGAACTGACCCTGTAAAGTTAAAAACCCAAATTGAACGGAACCAAAACCCACAGGTGAGTGTGAGACCGAGTGTGTATGTGGCAGTCCATTACATTGACTGCTGCTGTGTGACCTGGACTGTTGGCGGAAGGGTGAGTGGGTGTGACTCTGCTCCCAGGGAGTGGGGCCGGTGGGCCAGGGTGGGGCGGGCAGGCACAGACCGGCGTGCCAGGCCCCTGGGTTGTGAAAACTTCTGTTTTCTGTCTTTTTTTTTTTTATTTTATTAAAAAAAGCTAGAAATATAAACAGAAACTTGTGAGTGACGTGGATGGAGCTTAGTCCAGACTCCAAACCCTAGGTTTAAAAACGTCCCAGGGCCCCCACCCCACAGGTCATTGCTGAGTGTGAGGAGTCACAGTGTGGGGGGCTGGGCACCCTCGGGGGAGGGGGGGGGTCTTTGACTCTCCCCAGGGCCTGTGGTGGCCTGACTCTAGGGGTCCCCCAATGATCCCCTCAGAAACCCGAGGTGGGGGCGCTGCCTCCAAGGGGCCCTTGGGGCCTCCCAAGCAGCAGGGATTCACCAGGGAACCCCACTCAGGCTGGGTGAGGCTCTGAAAGGACAGGCTGGGCAAACAGGAGGACCCAGGGTGCAGGATGGCCTCTGACTTTCTTTGGAAGAGGAGACAGAGTGCTTTCACAGGCACACCCCCTGCATGCACCCTGTGCACGCCTCCACAGCCCCACACTAGTCCAGAGTGGCCCCGGGGCCACTCGGTAATCAGGCACACACATGGCTCCCACATGTTCAGACGCACCCAGTTTCACCCACACACACAGAGCAGGACAGGAGACTTTGGGGTCCAAGGCAGGGAGGCTTCTCTGCTGTAGTTGCCCAAGAGCATGGGGACCAGGCTGGCCCCGACCTTGGGGAGAGACCCTGTGAGGAAGATGGCTGCGGTGGAGCGGCAGGGCCCTGCCCTCCCTCCCCCCCCCCGCCCCCCGCCCCGGCCAATGGTCTCCCAGGCCGGCTGGTTCCGCGGGTGCACAGTAGGACCCGCAGCCTGCCGCCCCTCCCCCCACGAGCAGCACCTGAAGGGTCGGTGGGGCACACTAGAGCTCAGCGAGGGGAGGGGCCGAGCTGGGGCCCCAGGGCGGGCCACTAGGGCCCTGGCCAACCCCAGACCAGCTGGAGCGTCCCCTGCCCCGTGTGGGGTGGCAGTGGCAGTGAGGGCCGGAGATGGAAGACTGGGTGGCTGCAGTGGGACCAGTGGAAGTAGAAGGGAGGGGGAGGAAACTATTACGGACAGAGATATTTGTTCCTTTTCTCGTTCCAAATATAAAGTGGATTAAAATATGCAAAACAGGGGGGCTCCGAGGCCCCCATCGAGAATCCCAATGTCTCCCCCCTCCCCCCGAGTCACCAAGGCGGGTCCTGACCTCGCATGCTGGACTAGGTTCCCCCTCTGGGAGAATGGCCACCAGGAGCTGTGAAGGAGGTGGTCAGGCTCGAGCACCCCACCTCCGGCCCCTACCGCCCCAGCCTCCCTGGTCCACGCCCTTCTTGACTGTGTGCTGGGTGGGCTGGGCGGCCGGTGAGGGCACTAAGCAATGTACAGGGCGAGTCTCCGAGCAACAGCAAACAGGACGATTCATGCAACATTCCTGGCCCGGGCGCCGTCGGAAGGGGCAGGCCGAGCCCGCGGCCCGGGGTGGGGGTGGAGGGCCCTGCCGGCAGGGCGCGGCCGGGGCGGGAGCAGGGGTGGGGCGTCAGCTGCCGTCCAGCTGCCTGAGCGCGCGCTCGATGTTCATGCGGTGGCCCACGCGCGTGACGCCCAGCTCCACGAAGTCGTCCTTGGTGAGCGCGGGGAGGTGCGCGCCTTCGATCTCATGGTCCTCGAAGCGGTCACGGTGCTCGCCCAGGTGGATGCTCTCCAGCCAGTCGCCCACGTCGAACTTGCTCCAGAGCTGCAGCGGCTTCTGCTGGAAGGGCCGGCGCGGGCCGGGGGCGCCGGGGCCGGGGCCGGACGCGGGCGAGGGCAGCGGCGATGGCGAGGGGGAGCGGCTGCGTGCGCTCACGCTGCGCACCACGAAGCGCACCTCCTTGGGCTCGTGCGGGATGGAGAGGCTGGACGACTTGAGGATGGTGGGGGGCGTGAGGCCGAAGGGCCGCCCTGCTCCCCCCGCGCCCGCCCCCAGCCCCTCCACCCGCTCCAGCGACGCGGGCTTCACAGGGCTCGGGGCGCGTCGCGCCACGGGGTAGCGGCCGCTGGGCCTCACCGAGTAGGAGGCCCCGCCGCCCGGGCCCCCGGGGCTGCGCTGCGCTGAAATGGAGCTCAGCTCACCGAGGCTGCTGAAGAGCCTGCGGAGGGAGAGGGGTCACGCCAGGTGAGGGGCGCACAGCCAAGGCGGGACGGGCGGAGGGGAGCGGGCAGGGTCCAGGAGGAAAGGGGCTGGGGCTGGCGGGAGTAGCCCGGCCAGAGGAAGAAATAAGGGTGGGATCCTATGGTTACCCTAGCCCTTTTGTTTGGCCCCTGGGACCAGAGCTAGTGGCTGGCTGGAATATGAGGAATGACTGGTGGTCTTCTCCACTCCATCCAGGCTCCAAGTGTAGCCCACCAAAGAAAAGACAGCCTGTCATGGCAAAGGGCTGGCTTCTCCCTCCTGCCAGCCTCCGAGACACGCTCTGGGCATGGCGGGATCCACGGATGCCCTGGACCGTAAGACTTGGGCAGTACCTTTCATCCCCCACCCCACCCCCACAGCTCTGCTCTCATGAGTAGACCCAGGGGACCCTGGGCTAGATCCAGGAACAGCTGAGTCGTGAGAAAGGCTGGCAGCAGCAGCACGAAGTTGAACAGGTCCGTGACACAGGAGACAGACACCAGGCAGGGCTCATGCCCATATGGAGCAGCAGCACATGCAGGGCAGGTGTGAGGCCGTGCGCACCCACAACATAGAGGCAGCTTCCTGCACAGACGGCACACAGCAGCAGCAACGGTGCCCACACATGCTAGACAGGCTGCAGTGGCAGCACACACACGCAGACACGCAACACTCGCGCACGCATGCACGCACACGCCCACGCGAGAACCGATGGCAGCTCTCTTCCCAGCCTCACCTGACAGGACCCTAGAGCTCTAGCCCCTCCTCATCTCTGCTGTGGTGGGAGGCCCACCCGGGGTGACAACTCCAAAGAAAACCCACTCCCATGTCCGCCTATTCCCATCCCTGTCCCCACTGTGTCAGGGGAAGCCTCAAGGGTCTGTCAGTGGCACCAGAGCCCCTCACAGTCACGCAGAGCAGAGACCCAGGCAGATAGGCACAGCATGGGGATGGCAAGAGGCATGGGATGGGCATGCTCACTTACACAGCCGGCGCTCGGGACCACGGCGCAGCTCGACAGAGCAGCCACATGCAGATGGGCAGGAGAGAGCAATGAGAGAGAGAGTTAGCCAGCCAGGCCCACGCAGCCCACAGCTGCAACCACACAATGGGCAGCCAGGTGTGGAGGGAGGAACTCAGGTGCAGAGGGCCCAGCTGCTGTGGGAGGGACAAAGCTGGAGGTGCTGGCGGAGGATTAGCGCCTGTGCGAAGGTCTCCAAGTGCAGGTAAACCACAGGCGTGGCTGCAGTGCCCGGCAGGTGCCTGGTGCCTGGGGGTGCTGAGCCCCTGACATTCTCTCTGGCCATCCCCTCTCCAGCAGCCATCCCACCCCCTCTCCCTGCCCCTGCCCAGGCTGAGTTCCCCCAACCCCACCTCTGTGCTGTCCTCACCATCCAGCATCACCAGTGCCTGTCCCACACAGGCATAGGGTTCCCCTTAAAGCAGGTTTTGTCTTTTGTCTCCCACCTGTGGGAGGTCAGCCCTCTGTGGAGATCTGAGCTCTCTCCCACTGGACTTCATTTCTGTCCTTTTCTCAGCCTCTGTCCCTACTGCCTTCTCCCAGCTGCTCAGATCCAGAGCAGAGCTTCCTGAAGAGGCCACACTGTGCCCCCCAACAGAAAGGGGCTTCAAAAACACCCGAGGTGGGCCTCAGCACAGGCACCACCAGAATAAGCTGTCTTTGCTCCCACCCGCCCTGGCCTCCATGGATCCACCTGCACAGTGGGCCAAAGTGGGGTGGCAGCCAGGGTTGGGGGGGATTCCCGAGGGGAGGTGGGAGGTGGTGTTGGGTCGGGGGGGGTGGGTGCCCAGGTAGTGGTGACTGCTGGAGGGGGTTTAACTCTTGAGGGACCTGACTGTGGATGCCCAGAGAGGAGCAGGACCAGGAATATGCACCTGGCCTCCACCCCCAGCCCTGACACAGTGATCCTGGCTTGGGGACCTGCATCACAGGATGGACACCTGCCCCGGCCCTGGCCCTGGCCCTTGCGCTGCCCCTGCCCCAAGACGTAGCTTTCAATGGAGTTGCAATATCAGGTGTACCTGGAGTCTCAGGTGTGACTGAAGCACACTGATGAGTTGCAGGACCACAGCAGTGAAGGCAGAGGCACAGGGCAGGCGCAGGCAGCGCAGCCAGGAGGCTCAGCTGGAGCCCAGAGCAGGGTCTGGGCTCCAGGAGGTCCAAGCTGGGCAGAGCAGAGTTGTGCCTGTCTGGGTAGTACTGGCAGGGACTGAGCTGAAGACCTGGGCTGAGGGCAGGCTGGCTCCAGAGGCACTCACAGAGCCAGGGGCCCGAGGGCAAGAGATGTGGGGCCAGGCTCCACCAGGCTGTGAGTGGGGGAGAGCCAAGTCACATTGCTCCCACCTCCCAAAGCATGCTAGAGATGTCAGGCTGAGAAGAAACACCCAAGGAAGGCTGTGCCCTCCAAAGGCCCCAGGGCATGGAGGGAGGAGCCTGGGGTCTCCCCTGGCTCAGGTGTCCGTTTCCCCTCTTTCTCTTGGGGAACAGCATACTGCCCACCCCATCCCCAGGACACAAACCCGAGCAGTGTCCATGTCTGACTTCCATGTTTCCATGGCATCTCTGCACACCCACTGTCACTCTCAGCTGTCTGGCCACCTCCCTGGCCACACTCCGGCCACCAAACAGCCACATCCCAGCACCTGCCACCCTCCCAAAGAGCTTCTAGGCCACCCACCCTCTAACACATGATACCTCACCAGGCACCACCACCTGCGAACACCTCCAGCAGCCCCCTGAAGAGGCTGAGTCTAGATCATGCTGAGGCCCCCCGTGGCCTCCAGGTCTTTCCACCTGTATTTGAATCCTGCACTATCTCACTGTTTCCCAGTGACTCTCGGCCAGTGAGAGAGATCTGGCCTTGCCACACTCTTCCCACTCCAGACCACTACAAAAGCAGACATGGGCTCTGAAACTTCTGGTGCATCCTCGGTGGTAACCCTCACCCTGCATTTGCCCAGGCCGTCAGCAAGACCCCACTGCTGACCTGTTCATCTGTTTCCCTTTGAGACATCCTTTCCTAGACCTTTTCCTTACTAGATGGATTTTCAGAGCTCCCCTCTTCTTAGTTTGCAGTTTCCCCTAGGGAGAAACTTTCTCACACCCTTTGCTATGGCCAATGCGCCCAGGAATGCTACATGTGAGACCCAGTCAGTCTCTGATGAGTTCAGTACCTCTACTGAGATATCCATACATGTCCCTCCATCCCCAATTCAGTGAACAGCACACTGTCCTTGCCACCCACAGAGCCTGGGAGCCACCATAAGCTCCTCTGTCTTTTTAACCTACAGCCAATGACCAACTCCTAACACCAACCCAGACCTCCTCTTTACCCCTAGCGATTTCTGGATGCAGACCGTTCATGGTCTCAGGGCCTTAACTCCACTTCTTAACAGTTCTCCCTGACTCCTGGTCCCCAGCACAAAGCCAGGTATGCAAGATGAACTGACAAAAACATCACGCAAAAGCAGCATGACATGTCCCTGCCAGGCATGCCCAACTCAGCCCACTGGGACCAACAGGAAGGAAACTGTCCACACTCCGGCCCTGCCTCAGGCCTTCTGCCACTGCACTCACGTGGGCCAAGTCTAGGCCTGTGGCCTTTTGCAAACTGGGGGCTTCATTAAGGGAACTAATTCTCAGAAGAGCACATAACCAGACATGGGCTCTGAAGCTTCCAGCGCGTCCTCTGTGGTAACACGTCTTGCTACCAACACCCCGCCTATTCCCAGCGCCAGCCCTGATGGCCCCAGTGTCCTGTGACCCCTCCTCTGGACCTCCTTCCTACTCCACAAACAGGGTTCAGAGATCCTGGGAGCACACCTGCCCCCACTGCATGTGGCCGGCAGGGACCTCCACTGGCAGGTACATGACACACTCAGTCTGGGTTTCAGAAGAGCAGGCCCTGGACAGTGCTCTGTCCAGGTCACTGACAGATATAGCAGCAGGCAAGTTCTGCAGCAGGCCACCAGGGCAGGGTTTCCTGACCTTTTTGAGGAATGTGGGTTTTCTGTGGGATCTAGTAACTGACTAATAGGTCTGAAGACCACGGCACGCAGTGCCCTCCTCCACACAAGCTTACCAAAGTACTGCAGCAAAGAACCTCTTTAACTTGTGTTTCCAAAACTATTTTGCTATGAACTTTACCTACAAAACCAGATGTGAGAGTCAGCTGCAAAGCTAAGAGCCAAGGCAGAAGTGAGCATTGCCATGGACCTCAGACCCCATATGGGATTCAGATCCAAGCACGGGGCCTGGAAGAAAAAATTGAGTTTAGAGCCAGATGTGGAGCCAGGGTCTCAGAAACAAGTGTGAGCCTCAGACAGTTGGGGCACCCATGGCCAGTTTTGGGGCTCAGAGTCAGGTTTGAAATCATGCCCAAATGCAGCCTCAGAGTCAGCTGTGGGGCCCAGAGACAGAGGAGGGGCTCTGGGCAGATGAATGGTCTGTCCAGCAGGGCTAGACTTGGAGCTGGGAGCACAGAGCAGGCAGACAGTCTGGGATCAAGGATGCAGAAGGCCAAAGGTCCTGGACCTTCCAGAGGCAGCATGAAAGTGCCACATCCTCCAGCTTCCCCTGAAAATCAAAGGTGGCTCCAGAGCTGATCATTTTTCCACAGGTTACTGAGCTTTAGTTCCATAACATACAGGACAGCTTAACTTGCCCAGAAAATTCTCAGGCCACAGAACAGCTTGTGGCTAAAGAACATCAGGAATGAGCCATCCGTGGAGAGGGTGGGAAGGGGCATTGCCTTCCCTGTGGTGTCGGTCAGGGAGGTGGAGGGAGGATGGGCCTGGGAGACAAACACTGCGGGAAAACAAGGGACTGGAGACACGGCTCAGGGTATGGCCCTGAGGGTGACCCAGCACCTCTGCCAGGACTGGCCCTGCGAAGGAAGCAGCCATACCTGGATGTCAGAACTTCCCACACTTCAGACAGTTCCCTATAAGACAGTTCCACCAGCAGTTTTATCCCTAAGTGAGGAGTGAGTACCAGAGTCCGGCCACTGAAGGCTGCAGGGTAAGAGCCGACAATGGCCACGGTGGGCACACAAAGGACCAGATCTGAAACAGGACTGGACTCAGACATCACCAAGTATCCCGTGCTCCGCTCCACTGCCTGCAGCCAGAAGCACCGGAAGTAAAGGGCCCAGGATGGGCACAGGGGCCCTTTCAGATGGCTGTAGTTTAGCCCAGGCCTGAGGAAAAGAAGGAGCACAAGAGGGTGGAAGCAAGAATGAGCCAGAACAGAAGGTAACATAGGCAAACTGAGGAGGAAAAGCAAGCCAGGGGGTGGCTCAATGCAGGCTGGCCACTCGGGTGGCACCGGGTGCTACTTAGGACACACATGACCAGTAAGCAAGGGGGGTGAGTCTGTGCTGTATAATGCACACACCTGCCACTTCTGTGCAGGGGGATTATTGGGCAAAAACCCATTGCACATCATCAGAAGGGGTCTGACAACAGATTACAGCAGTCGGAGAGCAGGGCTCATGGTCAGGCAGACCCCCGTTTTCTGTCTGCAAGGAAACTCTCTGGTACCTCAGTTTCACTCTCTGGAACATGGGGATTCTGTTACGGTCCATCTAACAGAATGGTGTGAAGATGAACTGATATGGCGGGACTATCTCCAGTGCTACATCTAACAGGTCTGTTTTCCCACCAAGGACTCTAAGACTCAGCCCAGGTGTCCGAGTGTCCAGGTGTTGGGGACGGCAGGGACAATGCCAGCTCATAGCAGTGAGGATCCACAGGCCCCAGGCCTGGGCCTGCTGGTGCTTCACAGGTGATGCCACATGCAGCCTCACGACAGCCTATGCAGTTGGCTCATTGTAAACACACTTCACGGGGGAGGGATGGACGTTCACAGAGCTTCAGTGGCTGACCCAAGATGACAGCACTCAGCAGGTCACAGCTTAGTGCTGACATCAGGGCCCTCTGATGGCTCCAAGCCAGTGACTGGCAAGGGAGGGAGTTGCTGAAGCTGGTGAGGGCCGGACCTCCATTTGGACAGCCGCCTCCCCTCACTCTCAGCACCTGCTTGCTAGGTGGGTGAACCCATCCCCCTCGCTCCTGGGAGAACACAGGACTCAGTCCTGGCCGATGACAATCCTATGTCCCCAGGCCCCAGTGATCAGTCAGGGAGAAGCAGAGGACCCACATGAATCCAATCAGACGCCAGAATTTTGCAGGAACTACTAAGTAAAAGAACAGATAGCATGTAAGGCTCAGGGTTGCTGGTCTTGTCCTTCTCCATCCCACATCTGAGAAAGAAAAACAGGGTCCTCGTGAAAGCCAGAGCCAAGGGATAAGAGAACTTTACCCTGACCAAGACAGAACACTAAAAACCACAGTGGGAGGATTAACTCAGAGAAGGGAAAGTGCCGGAAGGTTCTGGCTGAGGAATCCCCGATCCTGCCCTGCAACAGCTGCCGCTGCCTCTTGGGAGAGAACAGGGTCAATGATGAAACCTAGGCTCACCTGAGCCCGACCATGGGGGATGGACAGCTGATGGGTCTGGACGCTGAGTCGGTCCTTCTGTGGGTTTGTCCTAAGCCACCTCCCTAGATCTCAAATCACAAAAGACAGCATTTGCATTTCACTTTGTTCTTTCATCCATTTAACAAATGTTTATTGAGGACCTGAACCAGGCCAGGCACTGTGCTGTGCACTTTTTAAATGGCTTTGATTTTCATCAAGATCAAGAGGCAAAGAGGAGTGGAGGCAGGAGAAGCAGAGAAGGAAGATGGCAGCTGGTCAGGAGTGCGTCAGGAGACCCAGCCTCAGAGGCCTAGAACCAGGCTGCTCACTCTAATTGGATGCTTACTGTCTCCACCCATTCTACAGGCACCTTCAACACTGCACTGCTGGGAAGAGGGCTTTCCACTTTGGCTGGGAGTTGGAAGAGGCCAAAAGGGGAGAGGACCCCAGAGCAATCCCCCAGGATGATAGGAGCTGGAGGCAGCATCCCTGGACCTTAGGAGAGGCCTCATGAGCTTCTCAAGCTCCCACTTAGCTTTTGAATCCTGAACTAAAGAAGGTAGAATGGCCAGGCCCTTGTGAGTAAGACCTGCAGAGTCCTTAAGTTCTAAACATGTTACTACGCTGTGAACTCTGCCCTCCAAGGTTGACAGTAAAGGGCCCACTAGGTTGGTCTTCCAGGCAGCAAGAATGGCGCCCACATACTCTCCCCAGACCCAAAGAAGGGAGGGGAGACCTAGGGGCACAGAATGTAAAAGTAGCTTGAAAAAGGCAGACAAGGGGTCTGGTGGGGGATGACCAGCTCTGACACCAGCATCCATGCAGCCCGTGGGCCTGAAGGGCTCCTCTTTGGAGGGAGCCTTGGGAGTGGGGTCAAGTAAAGACCTATGGGATCAGCTGGGGCTCTGGCAGCTGCGACAGCCTTGGCAACAAGCCAGGCCCCTGCTCAGACCCTCCTGGGTAGGGGCAGGACAGAGAGGGAAGTGGGGTGAGAAGGCAAGAGGGCAGATCCATCTATCTTCCTACCGCACTTTAGAAATGACACATGGGAATCCATGTTCAAGGGACTCTAAGGTGGTGCTAAGAGACAAATGTTTCTGGGATGGGAAACAGGAAGTTAGTGGCAGATCCCCAAAAGAAAAGGAGTCAGTGGGCTCCAAGCCTCCAAAGGAAGTAAGGCAGGAGGCAGCCCCAGGGCAGAGGGTGATCAGCCACACTGGGCAGCCACATGGCCAAAGAGAAGGTGGGAGGGAGGTCCACCTCCAAAGGAAACCACAAAACAGCCCTTAACGGCAAAGGCAGCCTGCGTTGGGAGAGAGAGAACCCACAGGAAATCCTGGGGCCAAGAGCGTCCAGGAGGGCCATGGGGGCACTCATCCCCAACCTGGGTCTCTGACAAGAGCCCTGCTCACACTTCTGGCACCTGCAGGGACATAGTGAGAAGCAGCCCTGATGTGTCAGACACCCAGAAAAACCTTCCCTCTCAGGCAGGCCAAGCAAGACCGGATTCAGAGGTGGATGGCAGGGGTGGGTTAGGGGTTGCCACAGAAGGAACCGAACAGAACAAGGAGGAACAGGAGAGCCAGAAAACGGACAAGAGGAAGGATGGGTTGGGGGGGCAACAAACAAGGCACAAGTCCCTCCCCACACCACCCTGCTCACCGAGCTGCTGCGATGGGCGACTTCTTGGCAGGGTCCAGCAGGCCGCCCAGGCCACCAACTGGTTCCTCCCCCAGGGAACGCGTGTCTTTGTTCAGCTGCTGCAGGCGGGAGCTGAGTTCACTGATCACAGTTGGTTTGTCGTCTTCAGGCCCAGGGAGCCCCCGGCTCTCCACGGGGTCCCCCCATAGCTTGGACCTTCTCTGGAAGAGGTAGCGAGGGCGGGCAGGCCCGGCGGCAGAGGCCAGCCCGGCAGAGGCGGCATGGTGCTGCTGGGCCATAAGCTCGCTGTCCGAGGACTGTTTCAGCAGCGGGTCCCTGAAGGTCACCGGCCCCTTCCCCAGCGGGGACTTGAGCTTGGGCTTGGGAGGCACTGGTGGCTTCTCGAGTAGAAAAGTGTGTCCGTCAGCGAAGGAGGTGTGGGTGTCAGTGAGTTCCCCGCTCTCTGAGCTCAAGGTGGACATGCTGGACACCGTGGAGATGGTGCTTGTGGTCTCCAGGTGGGGGTCGCTGGAGCTGCGTGTGTCAGCCTCCTCCACCCCGGAGTCGGCTGCAGACTCAGGGGCAGGGGGTGGCTCACTGCTGGGCTTCCCTGAGGCCGGGCTGGGCACCGTGGTGGGCGAGGGGCCCGGGCCAGCGAGTGGGGTGGCCAGCAGGACCCCGTTGGCAAACTCTTCTGGGGGTGGCACCAGCCCAATCCGGGCCAGCTCCTCCCTGGTCTCCTCATCGCTAGACGACAGCTGAGCGGGTGGTAGGTTCACAGCAAACACCAGCTCTGGCTCTTCCTCTGAGCTGCCCTGACCTGGCCCAGGTTCTGCCGGGGTGCTGCCAGGGGGCTGGGCCCGGGGGCTGGGCAGGGGCTCAGCCACAGCCGCTGACTGCATGGGGGCCGGGGCCAACTCCGGGGTGCCCGGGCGCTCCTCTTCGGCCCCCAGCCTGCTGGGCTCCTGCCCGTTGCTGGTGGCATGCACAACGATGAGGCCGGCTGGCCGCTGCAGGGATGTGTCCAGAACGCTGAGGATCATGGACTTCTTGTCCTCAGGTGACTTCCGCTCCTCCCGGGGGGCCTTCTCTGCCTCCCTGCGAGCAGGCACAGGAATCCAGGCCGGGCTTCGCGGGGAGAAGGCTGGCGACGCCAGGGACCCTCGCTCTGGGTCCCGGGCCTGCACATCCACAAACAGGGGTCCAGGGCGGTCGGCGTCGGGGCTGTGCACGGGCGTGGGGGACCGGGAGGGTGCCTGGGAGGCCAGAGCCCGCTCTCGGGCAGCCAGGGCAAGGGCCAGGGGTGAGCTGGGGTCCAGGGGTTTGCCGGTGAGCGGGTGGATGAAGGTGGAGCCTGAGGGCCCGAGGGTCGGGCCGCTGACCAATGGCTTCAGAGCAGACACCGGGGAGGGCAGCAGCAAGTCGCGGCCGGCGGTGGGGCCGGTGCCCAAGAGGCGCTCGTCGATGGAGCGGGAGGGCTGCAGGGATGGCAGGTCCGCGCTGGGGGCGCTGCCCTCGATGGCGCCCACGGACAGGAACACAGTGGAGCGGCGCCGCTCCTCCAGCCGCCGGTCCTTGGCCGGGCCCGGGCCGCCGAACGCGAGCCCCGGGCCGTCGCCCGCGCCGTAGTCGAGGCCGCCGGGTCGGGGACCACGGTGGGTCGGGGAGGGCTCGCGTGCGAAGCTGCCGCCGCCGGGCCCAGGGCTGCCCACGGCCAGGGCCGCGCGCTCCTGCGCATCCTCCACCTGCAGCTGCTTCACCAGCGGGCTCTTGCGGCGCTGCGGCTTGGACGGCGCGAAGAGGCTGGCGCTGAAGGCGCCCAGGTTGGCATAGGGGCTGTCGGGGCCGGGCGGCCGCGGCCGGCGCTTGGGGCGCTCGGGCGGGGTGCCTGCGGGCGGGGGCCGGGGGACGTCGCTCGTCTCCGGCGCCGAGTCCTGCAGGATGATCATGGAGCGCGCGCGCTTCTGCCGCTCGGGGTAGGGCAGCGGGCCGAGGGCCGCGCCGGGATCGTACAGGCCGGCAGCCCCCGCGCCCAGGCGCGCCTCCAGGCCGGGCTTGAAGCTGGAGCGCACCGTGTCGTAGGCGCGGCCCGGCGGGGGCGGCGGCGAGAAGGCCGGGGGCGGCCCCGAGTCGAAGTAGTAGGGCGCGGGCGGGGGCGGCGGCGCGGTCTGCGGCGGGGGCGGGATGCCGCGACTCTCGCGCAGCACCGGGTCTTGCATCGACGTGCTCCGCGGGAAGCGCCCTTCCAGCAGGGACGCCAGCTTCTCGTCCTCCCCTGCAGACGGAAAGGCCGGTGAGACCAGCCGGGGTGCTGGGGGCTGCTGCCTTCGGAACGGCTCCTGGGGAACCCCGACACCCCCTCCCACAGGGGACTCCACCCCAGGGCAGCCACTGTCCCAGACACGACGGACGCCAGCGGCAGAACCCGGCGAGGCGCCAGAATGCTCGCGAAGATGGGGTTGAGGCCAGCGGTGGGCAGAGAATGGACGGCAGGAGAGAAACAGGGAGCGCAGAGCACGGGCTCAAGCAAGACCCCGGTCTGGGCTTGTCCCTGGATGCCCAAGCTCTGTGCCCCAGGCCCAGGGCTGCACGGGGAGGGCTCTTGTGAAGAGGACGGGAGTGGGGAGGGCCCCCACAGGGGGGCCCAGAGGAAGGACACAAACTGACCAGCTGGGTTGGGGCCAAGACCTGCCCAAACCCAGGGGCATCAAATAGGCCCTGAGAAGACATCCCAGGCAGGCAGGGATAGCCTCGCAAGACATGGGGACAGAACTGCCAAGGGACTTAGAAGGGGCAGTACAGGGCTCCCAACCCAAGTCTAAACAAGGCCGTTGCAGAGGTACCAAGCCCTGGAGGCAACCAGCGGTGAGAGGAAGATGGTCGGAAATGAGCAGGATGAGGGACAGCAGGGCTGTGGCTACTGAAGCCATTGATCTGGCAGAGAAAGAGCTGATACCCCAGTAAGGAGGTGCCTTGAGAGGCTCCTCCCAGAGACCCACAGGGCTGAAATGCAGTAAGGTTGGGTGAGTGGGTGGAGGGAAGAATGGATGGATGAATTAAAATGGAACTGTAGGCTCAGCACCCAGCACGTTTCATTTTAACCCCCACTGGCAGCATGACCCCAGGCCAGGCCCTGAGCCCCTTTGAGCTTTCAGTTCTTTCATGATCAAAACAGGCTTAAAATGAACCTCCCTCTGCATGCCTTGCTTGGTCGTCATTGCTAGGGCTGTGCAAGGGCTGGTGCTCAGGGCCCTCATGATCCTGCTGTCCAGCCAGAACCTGACACAACCTCCTGAGCACCCCTGTGGACATAATGATGTGGACGCATGTGCCACAGGCGTGTTCAGTGAGGCTGCAGGTGCTGGATGGCCCGACCCACAGGGAGGAGACCGATGGTCCCACACTGACACACCCAGGTCTCGTGGTGCCGTTCCCAGTCTCGCTCTGAGATTGGTCAACATTTTTATGAATTCACTACTATATAGACTGCCTGTTCTGATGGAATCCTCCTCCATCCACTGCAGTGCTAATGAGGCCTCCAATGCCAACAGCATCTTGCTGGGTATGATACCTCTTTGTATCCTAGGTAGCAACGGTGGGCTTTTGTGTACAGACCTAAGCTTGAATTTTAGCTGTGCCAGGTACTGACATTCCTTAACCTCTAGAACTTCAGCTTCCTCATCTCAGGAGGGCAGCTGCAACTGAGGGGCGATTTCACCTTTACAGGACAGGGCTGAACTGCCGCAGTGTCCCGGGAAAGTGGCCGAGGTTATCATCATCGTAATTTTTAGGTCTGCCTTCCCTCCACCCTCAACCGCTGGACACTGAAATTGTGCCCAGTTCGTCCTGGGTCTCCTGCTGCATTCCCTACACTGGGTATGAACGCACAGGGAACACCCACAAGCCTGTGGGTTAGATGGAGCAACACAGAACTAGCGCACCTTGAGGATGTAGAAGGCGGGAGTGACGTGCGAAGATGAAAAAAGGGGAAATTTAATGCTAATAACATGCCAAGTTCTGACTTAGGGTAAAGAAAAGTCATCTGCCTCGGCATGGAATGGGGAATCTGTTCCGATACCATCTAGGAGGGGGTGGGACCCCTTGGGGGCAAAGGCAGACCCTCTTTGTCTGCCTAAATAGCAGAGAGCATTTCTCGAGCACCCACTGTGTGCCAACCTCAAAAGGCAGCATCTTCGTCTACTAACACTGGCGGCGGCTGAGCACTCCCAGTATGCCACAAAGTCCCCAGCCAGTGAGTGCCACCTACTGGACGAGCCTCAGAGTGGTCCTTGGAGGTGGGTAATGGGTGGTCTCCATATTTATGGATAAAGATCCTGATGTTTCAAGGGGTACATCGTATGCCTAGGGCAACAGAGCCAGGGCAGGAGGCAGGGGGCAGGGGCCTGGGGAGTATGACAACCCACCAATGTGCAAGTTGGCAGCTGAGGCCCAGGAGGCCAAGGGGAATCAAAAAGGAGCACCTGTCCCCCAATTCATCAACCAATCACAAGAGGGTACAGGAGGGACCAGTGCAGAACTGGCAGTCCTAGGAGAGGGGCTCAAGGCCTGCAGGGCAGGTGCACGGACCTAGATGGGCAGGATCAGACCTAGGAACAGCAGGAGCCAGAAAACCCAGGTCAAGGGAGACAGAGACAAATGTCCACAGATGAAGCAGGAGAGCACTGGGGCTGATCTCCAGGGCCCTGAGGCAATGAAGAGCACTGAGGGTCAAGCTGGACAGATACAAGGTGACAGCTGCTCTGCGGAAAGCCTCATTTGGGCAGAGGGACAGACAAGGGCAGAGCCAGGGCAGTCAGTCATGAGAACAAAGCCATGGTCCAGCTGCAAGGTGATGAGGTCTGTGCAGGGCAGGGCTGTAGGGCCACCCACCCTGACAAGTCAGAGGGTAAGAAAGAAACCACAGAAGACACTCGGGGCTTAGCCAGGGAGAGCAGGGGAGTGTGCTTCTTAGCTCCAGAGTAGCTGCAGTCTCACCAGCCTTCTTCCCCACAATCCCACCTACAGAAATAACTCTTAGCAGTCTCTGAGGGACCAGGTCACACACCCATGTGCCTTTTACACACTGCTCCATAAGTTCACCCCATTATCCCCCAGAAACTCCCACTTATCTTGCACATCTTAATTCAGAAGTACCCCTGCCCCGGCACACACAGCCTTCTGTGACACCCAGGTGTGCTTGGAGCTCCCCAGTCGGCTCCATTGGTCCATGTGCCCTGGTACCCACCATGTGCCCGCTGAGCTGTCTGCACACGCCACGTTCCCCATCATGCCCCAGACTTGGCTGGGGATCGGCCTCACGTGAATACCAACTGGCAGGGTCCTGGGGCAGGTGAGGCATCAGTTTGGGCAGCTGGTTGGCTGCAGTGTGCACAGAACATGATAGGCAGGGCAGCTGTGTGATCTTGGGCAGGTCATTTACCCTCCTGTTTCGGTTTCCTCATCTGTAAAATCGAGGTGCTAGTGGTCTCACCTCAATATGGTTATTCTAAGTATTAAATGCTCAGTGTCCAGCCCGTAGTTAAGTGCTGAGAGGTTTACTCCAATGTGTAACAGGTGGTGGGTGTCCTGGGGTTTGTGTGGACAAGGGACTGGAAAGTGGGCAGGTCTGTGGGTGGACGGATCGCAGGTGTGCAGGTGACGGGGAAGTGAATGCCTGGAGGGATGCACGGTGGCTAAGCTAGTTACATGTTCCCATCTGGGTCAGGAAAGGAGACAGTGAGTGTGGGACGTGATGGTGGCTGGGGAGTAATGAGGGCACAGAGGGGAAGGAAGCTGAAGACACAGCCTCGAAAAGGTCCCATATTTGGGAGGCTGCGTGGCAGGGTGGAAACAGGTGCCACCTGAGAAAAGACGGGAAAACCAACCAAGTGTTGTCCTAAAACTCTGGGGGGAAGCGTTTCATGGAAGAAGGAGCAAAGAAACCAAATGCCAGCTGAGGCCAGCAGGAGGAGTGCTGGCCATGCGTCCACGGGGAGGAAGGCCCTGGAGGCCACCGGTGACCCTGGTGGGAGCAGTTTCAATTTGGGTATGGAGAGAGCGAGTCTGCCGCAGGCTGAGAAGCAGGTTGGGGACAGGAGAGAGACGGCAAGCAGAGGTGACTTTTGGGGGGAAACTGGCTGTGAAGGGGAGAGAGAGAGAGCAATACATGGAGTGGCAGGGGAGAGGCAAGTTCAGGGAAGGGGAGTTTTAGGATCAGAAACTTCACATGCACTTGGGCTACAGGGGAGCAACCAGGATGAAGGCGGCTGAGCTGGGACAGGGGTGAGGCTGCCCACAAGAGGGATGAGAGGCAACGGGGGGTGCCCACTGGACAGGGAGTGGTGGCTGGGGGAGGGACTCTCTGGGTTGGGGAAGGACTAATTTCCACATGATCACCAGCATAAGAGATCCTTCGGCTGGGGCCAGGAAGAGGCAGGACTCCGAGGGAAACTGGAAACCCTAGTTACCGGCAGGGAGAGGCAGGGTCCTTCAAACCCAAATCCACCTTGCCGGGCCCCAGCCCCATTCCTCCCAGCCCCATGCAGTCCCACAGCCCAGCCATACCTACAGATTTGGTCCGTGGAATCCCCTTCCGCAAGGAGCCCGGCAGCTTCTCTGGGCCTGGGAGGCCCTGGCGTTCAAACAATGACTGTGGGGGTCAGGGAGGGGGAATATGGAGGTTCCAGGGCACTGGGGGCCCCCAGTCCTCCTAAGCCAGAGGTGAGACACCCCATGCACTCACTCCAGTGGCGCTGGTGCTGTGGGTGCCTGTACCCAGCCATCATGTCCAGGCTCTGCCCTCAAGGAGCAGGGAATGCAGCCTATTGAAGCTTCGGTGGTGTGGACAGTATAGATGGTGGCACAGTGTAGACGGTGTTGGGCAGGGTGGGTGCAGACCCTGGCAGAGCCTGGGTAAGGGTGGGAGAGGAGCCTGGAAGGTGCCAGGTCGGGAAGTGGGCAGAGAATAAAGACATGCTTTGTAGTGCTCTCGGTGGGCCTGGGGTATCTTGGTGGTCTCAGGCGTGACACAGGGACTGGCTGAAGCCAGAGGCACTGAAAGCCGTCAGAGCAAGCCCAGCAGGTTGCTGAGCTGTGGCAATTTAGGGGGCAGAGACAGCCCCAAGTGTCTCTGAGAGAGGCTATGGGGTACACATACTCCTCTGGAGAGGGGTCCACATGATGGGCTCTCACCTCAGTTAAGAGGGCCCAGGACAGTCTGGCCCCCACGCCTGCCCATCCCAGTGCTCCCAGCCACCCGTGGTCCTTACACTAATCTCAGCAGGTGTGATCCTCCGACTGGTGGGCCGCTGTTTGACTGTGGCGGCTCTGGAGTCCGCGTCTGCGATGTCTGGCCTCAGCGTCGGCTCTGTGGCGGCTGCCAGCATCTCGTCCAGCTTCTCTGCACAGCAAGGAGGCTCCATCTCAGCTGCCTGGGCCACCTCCTCCCCAGGCCCCACCATCCATGATGCTGACACAGGGCGCTGCTCCCCTCCGTCCTCAGGCTCCTACCCTGGACCCCCAAGACAGGGCCCTCACTCAGACCCCATCCCAGGCAGCCTCTCTATCCTTAAGGAGACTCCAGGTGACCCTGTGGACCCCACTCAAGGAAAGGACACTCTGACCATGAGGGAGAAGACCAGGGCAGGAGACAGACAAACTGTTGAGAGTCTCCCTGGATTTCCCTCTCTTTCCCTTTGTCCTGTATCACCGTCCTCAGCATGTATGGGCCACTCTTGGTGTTGTGAACCGCACCGGAAGGGAAGCTGTTCACACCAGGACAGACCCTGAGGTACAAGCAGGTTTCCATGAGAGATGTGTGGATACTGAATGAGTGAATCAAGGCTGGATGGTGGACACCTTCAGAAAATGGAGCTTGCTGTCCCAGGCTAGGGACCTAAAAAATGGTTCATTGCAGAACAGGACAAAGAATCCTTTTTTTCACCCTGAGGAAAAGCGGCCCACTCAGGGTAGGACGCATCAAGAAACGAGGAGGAAGGAGGGTGGGGGACAGTGCTGGAAAGGCCCCTCCTCACCGGCAGGGCTTCTACCACTCTCTAAGAAAGCACCGGGGAGGCAGAGATGCGAAGGAGGGTTAGGGAGACCCCTCTGGGCTGATGCCTGAACAACCCACACAGCGAGAAAGGTGCCTCGGCAGCATTCTTTTCAAATTCGTTAAAAAAGAAACACCTTCTCAGTGTGGTTGTTTTTATTAAAGTACAATCAATGTTTTGAAAAGTGGCATTCTATATTATCCAAGTGACTCTGGAAACTCTGTTAAACTAATACGTGTATCTAAGGACCATCAGAGCTCCGGCTGGACGGCTCCCCCAGGACATTGGTAGCTCTCACCCCCAGTGGGTCCACTTAGGACCAGCGCATGGGGCATGAAGCAGGGGCTGGGGCAGCACCCTGTCCACCTGGCTGCTGCACCCACCCACCCTCTCGTTCAGCAGCCCCACTGCACCCCACCTGTCACTCAGGCTCCACCCAAGCCCTGGACCGCCTCCACTCTTTAGGCCTGTGCCAACCCTGGAGACACCACCTCGTGCCTCAGCACCTTTCACTCTTGCCTTGGCCCCTTGCAGGAGAATTTCAGTGGTCAGCCTGGACAACTCCTACTCCTTCCAACTCCAATCTGCAGCTGTTCACAGCACCTGCTGGTTCTACCTCTGCAATCTGCTTAGCATTGCTGGAAGGAAGTAAATAACTCCCCAAGACCGTCCTGTACCCAACCAAGACCAGACCCACCCTGAATACTGACTCTGTGACCTCTGTATCCTCATCTGATAAAACAGGCATAAAAACAGCACTAGCTTCCCATGTCTCTAGTGAGAATTAGCACTAAGAAAGGCTTACAACTGTGCTGGCACTGAGCACATATTCAGCACAATTCATGTCTGTGTGGCTCATCTCCCCAGACAGCTTGTGGGTCCACAGAAGAGAGCAAATACTGTTCTCTGTGCTCCATCAGCGCCCAGTCTGTGCCCTGAGCAATACAGAAGCTTACAAGCGAAACAGGCTCCACCTACAGAAATCTGAGCCTGCGCACAGCCCCCAGTGCCACAAGGTGACAGGGCCCAGGTACAGAGCAGGGGTTGCTGGTTTGAGGGGATTTATCATTTGCTTTCGTCATGAAGTTTTCTTTTTGAAAGCTGAAGTCGCCATCGCCATCATTTGTTAAGTTCTTGATTTCTAGAGTACGCGGGACTTTATGTGAACTCTCTCCTCTCATCCCACAACTGCACGAGGATTTTACCACCACCCTCATCCTACCAGGAGCAAACTGAAGCTCAGAGAGAGGAACTGCCCCAGATTACTAGCCTAGGAAGTAAGAGATCAGACTTAAGCACCACACTCCCCAGAAACTGCAGAAGTAAAGACATGAATGGAGACAGAACTCCGGGGGGCACACACGGGACAGCATCATGCGAGACACGGTGGCACCTGAGCCACGGGCTAGGAGAAGCTGTGTCTCTAGGTCCAGAAGACCCATCCCAGAGACCCAAAGCGGGACGTACATAACGTTTAGTGAGGCAGCTGTTTCTGGTCATCGGGCGATGGTGCTGGAGCCAGGTGAGAAGTGTTTTCAAAAGGGAAAGGATTAATCAAGAATTTTGAAAATTACAAACTGATGAGGTTGACATAAATTCCACCCCCACCCCCAGTATTAGAGAATATATTCTCAAATAAATTATTTCAGATACTTAAGGGAAATGAAGCCCGTTAGGAGCCAAGTGGACCCACTCACTCCCAGGGCCCTCTGGGTGCACAGCAGGGTACAGCTGAGTTTGCAGCTGTCTGGTCAACAGGGCCCCAGCCTGAAGGGGGACCAATCGGCCATCACTTCTTCCACAACTGGAGGCAGCACATGGGCTTCAGCACGGCACTCTGGGAGCCCCAATAATGAGCTGGAGGACAGCACCAGAATGTTGCAGAATTAGTCTGTGTGTCTGTCCCAAAGGCATGCAGGAAAGGTCACTGGAAGAGATCTTGTCACCTGTTTCTAATACCTAAGCAGATGCTGGGGAAGCCCTTCACCTGGACTGGGGCAAGAGGCAGCAAGGGGACCTCAAGAGGGCTGGGCCAGCGGCCTGGCAGACGTGTCCTCACCCAGGAAAAGCCCAGTGGGTCCAAAGAGAGGGAAGGATGGGCATCAGGCACACGGACATGGAGCGAATACACAGGCCTGGGTTGAGCAAGCCACCTCAAGCTTGTGTGGGCCCTGATTCCCATCCACCCAAGAGGCAGAAGAGGCCACCAGAAGCCAGGTCCCAGGACCTCACCAGACACTGGACCTCAGTACCCAGGCCCAGGTGACTGTCCCTGAATGCTCCCTCCTCTGCAGCCAAGCTGAATATACAGGACACACAGGGAGGAGCCCCAAAGGGTAGAGGGAGGCCTGAACAGGGGTTCTGGAGGGTCAACAGCCTGGGGGGCTGTTGGGCAGGGGAGCTCCAAGCTCCCTCCCCAGTGCTGTGGGACTCAGACCCCTGCTCTGAAGGGACCATTGGCTCTAGACTTGGCCCTAGGACCAACCAGCACGGGAGTGGGTCCCACAGCCTAAGCACAGGCCCCGAGAGGACCAGCAGAAAGCAGCAATATAGGCTGGGCTGAGTACGCTGACACAGCCCAGTCTCCCTGCTCCCAAGAGCTCCCTGCTGAGCCCTCGGAGCCCTTTCCCTCCTGCTTTCCAGCCATGGCACATGCAGTGGCCTCCACCCATGGGGGCTCTCCAGCTCCTCCCCCCGGGTTGCCTCCACCAGGCCATCTGCACAGCTCAAAGGCCCCTGGCTTACCTGAGCACCCAAGGCCATCCCAGTCCCAGAGGGTCACACCCCTGGGAATTCCCCATCCATCCTACCAGGTCCTTCTCTCAGCCCCTACCAGATCCCCAGGGAGAAGGCCAACAAGAGGGTGCAGCCCAGGCTTCTGGGCCACCCTAACTTGCACTGGAACTTCCTCACACACCAGCACTCCCCCAGACAGGGGTCAGGCAAAGCCAAGGCCCTGGGGACACAAGCAGTTGACTCACCCCCTTTTCTTCTCCGAATGGAGGCTTGGAATCAAGAAACAGAGTAAAGGGAGTCAGAGGCAGGCTTGGCACTGGGCCCCGTTCTCCACACCCATTTCCTTTCCCCACCCCATCTCTGTCACCACCACTTTCCCCAACAACTACGACCTCCCAGATCTTCCCCCAGCCTACACCTCTCCATCAGACCACGAATAGCAAACCTGCCCAAATGCCGAGTCGGTTGGTACATGCCTTGAAACCCAAGGAGGAAACCACCACAAGCGGGGCCTTGTGTGTGCACACGCATGCATGCGCGCCCAGTGCAGGCCCACTCACCCATGCACACATGCACAGACATGCGCAACTCAGTCATGCTTGGCTTGGTCAAACGTCCGTTCAGAAAAAAGGCAAACCCCCCCCAAAAAAAACAAGTTCAGCTGTCGCTGAAAACCAAGGTGGTCACCTGTGTGTTCTGTGCAAAGGTGGTCTTAAAACAAAAGGCAGGTCAAGTGTGTTTGGCATAGAAACCTTTTCCGGGACAAGGCCACTCACACAGATGCTGGCTGTGGCACCTACCCTGATGATCTCATCACAAAAGAAAAAGGGGCCCAGACATTACAGTGAAGTCCAGATTTCTCCCGGGAACATGAATACACAGGAAGGGCTGGGACGCACCTGGGCCTTCCTGGCCTGGCTCTCCACTGCCCTGTGGCCCCAGCACATCCCTGGTTCAAGCTGAGCAGACTGCACGTGGCGACCATGAGGAGCCCCCACTGCTGAGGGGAGGAGGGGTGCTCTTGCCCTCTTTCTCTCTCCACTTGTCTCAGGAGGGTCCCTACCCTGCCCCTTTCTCTCACTCCCATCTCTGCATTTTCCGGGCACTAGCCTTTGCTCACCCTATTCCCCCAGAGAATACCCCTTCCCTTCCCTTCCCTTCCTCAGGCAGGGCCCTGCCTCTCCCACATCCTCTGAGCAGCAGACAGCCACCTGGACAGAGCCGCCACCTTGCACCTGCTTTCTCTGACACCTCACTTTGCTTTCTTTCTGAGTGTTCAGGTACCTTCTTGATAGACTATGGATCCTACAGGGCTCTAACAGCTCTTGACAGTGTGAGGCAGTTCTCATGTGCTCATGCCGGTAATGACCAACAGGCCTCATTTTCATCTTCTGAAAGCAAAAACACTGGATGGTGGGATGGTCCCCAGTACCTGGGGAAACTCTAATGCTGGCATGGCTTCCTCAAATTAGACATTTCCACAGGGGACTTCCAGAAGGAAGCCAGCCTGGCTTCCCGGGACAGCTGTCTTCTAGGGACAGGGTGGCTTCCCAGGCTCCAGAAGTGTGGGTAGAGGCTCTGTGCTAAGCTGTCCCTTCATCCTCCCCCAGACTCTGCTCAGGAAAAAAGCCTGGAAAATTATGAAGGCCTGAAGCTGTGAGCAACTGCTCTGGGAGGCCAGGGTCCACAGAGTGACTCCAGCAGCCTGTCCTGAGGCTTGCTGCAGAAGAGGGAACACCTAGTCCAGGGGAGACGGGGAGAGGAACTTCTTCCATTCACTGGTTTCTTCAAGTAGAAAAGCCCAGAGAGGCCGGGTGCGGTGGCTCAAGCCAAGGTGGGTGGATCACGAGGTCAACAGATCGAGACCTTCCTGGTCAACATGGTGAAACCCCATCTCTACTAAAAATACAAAAAATTAGCTGGGCATGGTGGCGCGTGCCTGTAATCCCAGCTACTCAGGAGGCTGAGGCAGGAGAATTGCCTGAACCCAGGAGGCGGAGGTTGCGGTGAGCCGAGATCGCGCCATTGCACTCCAGCCTGGGTAACAAGAGCGAAACTCCGTCTCAAAAAAAAAAAAAGAAAAGAAAAGCCCAGAGAGCAAAGGGCGGTTCCTTCATTTTCACAGGGCAGAGTGCCTGGGTCCTGGGATTATAGCTCTCAGGCTGCCCAAAAGTAGCACAGTGCTGAAAAGAAGAGTCCCTTCTGAACATTCAGCTGACCATGGCCATGTGACAGCCTCTGGCAGGAGAATCCGGGGACCCAGCTGCCTACTGGTGCTGGCTTATTGATCAGTTTGGATCTTCCCTTGACGGGTCCACTCCCTTGATCTTGGACCCTTACCACCCTAGGGCCAGAAGTCTGCTAGCCTCTCTGCCTCACCCCTGAATGAGGAGGATTAGTGGGGTAGAGAAATCTAGTTCTAGGTGGAAAAGAATTTGGACTCAACACTCTCAGGCTCTTCTTCCATCCTCCACTGTCATCTGCTATTGCTGATGAGAAGTCTGTTGAACCATTGCTCCAAGCAAGACATCTAGCGGCCAGTCTCTCTCTCATCATTGCATTGTTTTGAGACAGGGTCTCACTCTGTCGCCCAGGCTGGAGCGCGGTAGCACGGTCTCGGCTCACTGCGACCTCCACCTCCCACCTCAACCTCCCAAGTAGCTAAGACCAGAGGCACACACCACCATGCCGGGATAAATTTTGTATTTTTAGCAGAGAAAGAGTTTCGCCATGTTGCCCAGGCTGGTCTCAAACTCCTGGACTCAAGTGATGCACCTGTCTCGGCCTCCCAAAGTGCTGGGATTACAGGCATGAGCCACTGCGCCCAGCCTCTCTCATTGTTTTAAAGATTTCTGCTTGTTGACTGTGTTCTGCAGTTTTACCGTGAACAATCTGGATACAGATTTGTTTTATTTCCTTGCTATAAGAGATTTATATTTCTTCACCTGGGTCTAGTGTACTGTTTACCCAGCCATGGATTTCTTTTTGATCGCAGTGACTATACTTTTTCTTTCAGTAACAGTTCTTTAGAAATCCTTCTAAAATGTGCTGCTTCTTTCTTTTGGCTTGTTCTGTCCTATTCTTGCATTAGGAGTTCTGTTAGTTCCTTTAATCTTTGTGACAATTTATTTTACTATTCTTCTCTGATTTCTAGTTCTTTTTATGCTAATTTCAGCTGTTGGGCTTGGTTTTAACCTAACCACTTCTCACAGGTCCAGCCATGTCTCCTAGCCTTGTGGGGTCTCAGGACCCCACCCCCTTGCCCTTGGGCACTATATAATGAGCTATGGAAGCCGCTGGCTTTGGTTTCTTCCCTCTTCATTTTGAATTATCTATATGGGTTTTTTCTTTGGTTTTATTTTATTTGGTGAAGAACATTCTGACCATGTCAGCCCGGTGTATACTGGTAGCCATTTTCCACATTGAACTAAACTGCATTTAAGAGCACCTGCTTCAATATTGAAGAATCTGGCAAGAAAATTTAAAAAATAGGCGGTGGCTCACGCCTATAATCCCAGCACTTTGGGAGGCCTAGGCAGGTGGATCACGAGGTCAAGAGATCGAGACCATCCTGGTCAACAAGGTGAAACCCCGTCTCTACTAAAAATACAAAAATTAGCTGGGCACGGTGGCGCGTGCCTGTAATCCCAGCTACTCAGGAGGCTGAGGCAGGAGAATTGCTTGAACCCAGGAGGCGGACGTTGCGGTGAGCCGAGATCGCGCCATTGCACTCCAGCCTGGGTAACAAGAGCGAAACTCCGTCTCAAAAAAAAAAAGAAAATTAAAAAAATAAAGAAAGAACACCTGCTTGGCATGGGGCAGCTCAGCCTGTGGCCAGGACAGGGTCAGGGCTTGGTCCACGAGTACGGTCAGGGATAATTCTGGGGGCCAGGGAGAGAGTTCCGTCTATGGCTGGGATAGAACCAAGACTGAACCCAGGGACAGGGCTCAGCCTAGAAACAGAATCAGGTCCCTGCCTGTGGCCAGGACTTAAGAATTCAGTTTAGTAGCAGAGGTGGGATTCCTTCTGTGACCAGAGCCAGACACCAGAGAAAGAAAGACCCTGTCAACTGTCACGTACAGTAGGACATGTCCATGACGAGGCTGTTGGTCACATGTACAGCACAAACCCGCAATAAGGGTCATCGTCACACGTACTGGGACATGCCCATGAAGACACTACTAACTGTCACATGTCAGGACATGATCAAGTATATCTGGACATGCCCACAACAAGATTGTTAACAGACACATATGTAAGACATGCCCATGAAGAGACTACTGAGGGTCAACCAGGGCTTGTGCCCAGGATGTGCCCCATCAAAGCCCAGCACACTCCTGCTCCCCTCCTGCCTCGATCTAGGCCCTGCCCCATCATCCCACCAGCAGTGTTCCTGGAGCCTGTGGGGCCAGCAGGACCGCCTGGCCAATGAGTGCACAGATACCAAGTGGATAAAATAAGCACAAAGCGGACACAGCCAGTGCCTGGCAGAGCCAGAAGCGGACCCTGGTCACCTCACTACTGCTGTTTCCTCACTTGAACCAGAGGTAGCACACGCACACACATGCACACTCATGCAAAGATACTGGTGGGCCGGGGCCTGCTCCCCATCATCTGTCCTGGACACCCCACTCTCCATCCCCAGCCCCTCACATCTCACCCCTTCAACATCTCATGCCCCTCCTCACCACACAAGCGCCAAATGTCCCCATCGCTCCAGCACCCACCCATTGACCTCTGACCTGTTCTTACATCCACCTGTCCTTCCTCCTCTATGGCTCTACCCCCTGGCCTCCCATACTACCTGTGTCTCCCGGCCCCGTCTGCCCAACCCGGACCATCCACCCGCGTCCAATTCTACCCCTGCCACTTACCAAGTTCCTCGAGCTCAGCTGTCATGGACTTGGAGCGCAGGGTCAGTGTGGTGCTGGGGGCCCTCTTGGGGGGCGGTGGGGCTGCAAAGAAGAGGGAGGCCTTGGACCTCCTGTCCAGCAGCAGGCGGCGCGGCGTGGCCAGGTGCAGGTGCCACTTGCGCTCCACTGCCTGGATCTCCTCGTATTCCCGCGAGGATGAGTCGCACTGTGCCAGGATCTTGTTCAGGCTACGGCTGGACGCAAACTTCTTCATGGCGTAAGGAGCTCAGGGGATGGGGGGGCCCAGGAGGTCAGGGCCTCAGGGGCCCTGGGAACCCCCAGAGCCAGGGCCTTGGGACACGATCAAGGGTGCTGGTGGGGCTCACGGTGCTGGCTGGCTCTGGCCTGAGCACCCACCCTGCAGGCTCCGAGGGCTAAGTGAGGGGGCACCAGAGCCATGAGGTGGGGGCTGGGAGGGGGTCTCCTTTCGGGTGGGGCTCCTGCTGCTCCAGGGCTCCCCCAGGCCCGGGTGGCCACTGCCCTTAGTGGGGCCAGGGTGTGGTCAGCCAAGCCACGGCCTGGGCTGGGCCTGGCCGGCAAAGCCTCCCAGGCCCAGGCTATGCCGCGTCGTCGCGGGGAGAAGACGCTTTTCCTCTTCCCTCAGGTGCCGCCTCCCCCTTCCCTCCGACAATAAGCAGCGTCAACCTCACAGTTGCTATGGCAACCCCGGCCTCCAGGCAGCTGCTGGCGGTGTAGGGAAGGAGGGCTCTGCCACACCAGGGGCTGGGGGAACGCCAGGAAGGAGGGGGCAGGGATCTGAGGAGGGGCAGCCTGGGGTCGGGGGGTCAGGGGTCAAAGGCCTCGGGCCAGGGGACAGGACTGGCAGTGTAACACCAGTGTTTGGGAGGGGCCCCAACCCACGCGTGTGGGTGGTTCATGGAGGTTCAGGAATCTGATATCAGCAGTTGGGGGTCAGGGATGGGAAGAGGAATGTGGGCCTGAGGTCAAAGGTCTAAGGTCAGGGGAAAGTCTGGGCACAGAGGCCTGAAGCGTGACCCCTCACCTCTGCGCCGAGCCCCATCCTCTTCCGGCTTTCTTGTCACAGACACAACCTTCATGACAAGGCGGTTGCCACCCTGGCGGATCAGAGCTACCACCTGCTTGTGTCCAACCTTCACCACGTTCACCCCATTCACCTGGGACAGACAGGCAGCTGCGTCCACCACAGGGATCAGGGGTCAGCACCCCCAGGGCAGGGCCGGCCAGGACGGCCTCACCTCAATGAGGAAGTCTCCTGTGCGAAGCCCGGCCCTCCAGGCCACACCCTCCACGTCCACCGACTCAAGATACTGCAGCGCCGGGAAGGCTGGTGTGGGCGTGAACTCCTCGATGGGGGTCTCTGCTGCGGGGGGCAAGTAGGAAGGCACTTCACCAGTGAGGTTCAGGTGGGGGCGACTGCCACACAGCAACCTCCGAGGGTGGCTCCGCACAGGAAAGGGATGACTGCAGAGGGCAGTGACCCAGGGCTGGGGGAGGGCCACGGGAGCGCAGGGATGAACCGGCCCAGGGATCCTGGACATGACCCTCTGCAAAACCCCCTTTACCCACACCAGAAAGGCGCCCACTCCGTTAGACTCTACAGCAAAGAAAGTGGAAAACGGCAAAGGGAAGGAACTGCCGCCTCGGCTGGGACATTGCAAACCACGACTGTCGCAACAGCAGCAGAGGAGCATCGAAGGACAGACACAGGGAGGCGCAGGTGAGGCAGGGCAGGTGTGTAGGGAAGAGTAGAGTTGGGGGCAGAGGCAAGACGCTGAAGACATCCCCAAGCAGCATGCAGCCCCTGCCGGCCCTGTAGACGCTGAAGACATCCCCAAGCAGCATGCAGCCCCTGCCGGCCTGTAGACACTGAAGACATCCCCAAGCAGCATGCAGCCCCTGCCGGCCCTGTAGACGCTGAAGACATCCCCGAGCAGCATGCAGCCCCTGCCGGCCTGTTACCTTTGGCTCCCCGGAGCACAAAACCAAAGCCCTCGTGGTCCCGTTTCTGCAGGACGGCCACTTTGTCATCAATGACATAATCGCTGATGGAAGAAAGCAGGGAGGAGTGAGGTCAGCCCTGCCACAGGGCTGGCCATCCAGACACAGTCCACCCTGCAGTCACCCTGGGACGGACGGGCCACACAGAAGAGAGGTGGGCCGGGGACGGATGGGCCACACAGAAGAGAGAGGGGCCGGGCACCTTCCCTTGCCTTCCTCTGACCTCTTCACCCCTGGCCTCCCTCTACACGTCACGTCCCGCCCCCACGTCCCATCTGCATGCCCCTGCCAGCGTCCCTGCGTGTACCTGTGTGAGGTGAGGCTGTCGTAGGAGCCCACAGTGTAGTGCCGAAAAAGCCGCTTTGTCCGGTCCTCACGGGTTTCTGAGGGAGTATCAGGAGCTGAGGGACAGTTGTGGCCTCCAGCTGGCCTGCCTAAACTGCCCTCACCCACGCTGGTCACCAGTCTCTGTCCAAATACACCCCCCCTGGCCTGGTTGTGTCCGGATGGAACTCAGGGGCCCGAAATCCTGGAATCTTGGGTCCAGAGGTCCTGAGGCAAGAAGGCTGAGGGATGATGCAGGGAGTTCTGACCTCTGTGGGTCAGGGCCCAAGAGGGGGAAGCAGCTCATCTCTTTTCTAAGTAGCAGCTGAATACAGGGATCCAGACAAGGCCAGAGCCATCCACAGAGCGTCAGTGAGCCCCGCAGCTGTGAGCAGAGGGGGGTGTGCACATGTGTGTGTATGTGTGTGACCTGTGGTCGCGTGTAGATGCTGTGCCCATGCACCTGTCTGTGTATGTGCAAGTGCCATACTGATGAGTGTCTGTGTGACGTGCACGTGCGAGGTGTGTTCACGCACTTGCGTGTCCACGTCTGTGTCTGCGTGACCCACACTCATGTACAAATGCCGTTCTATGTGCCTACATACGCTGCCATGGAAGCAGCATTGTGTCTTCACCAACTGCTTCATCACGGCTCCCTGATGCCAACCTCATGGGGTCCCTGCTTCCGACTGCCTCTGAGTGGGGTAGGGGATCCAGGTGTGGGGGCTGGGTCTTCTGTCTTGACTTCAGTGCATCCCGCAGAGCTTAGTCCCCACTGTCCTGTTGATCTCAAAGTCCCACAAGGCCAGCACCAAGCTAGCCAGCTGTCTGCCCATCACTCCACCCTCGCTGACCTGAAGGTTCAAGCCACATCTCCAGCCATGACCTCTCTGCTCCCACGGGCTCCTCCAGCTGCCTGTGAGCCCTAGCTGCCAACTTCCCAGCCCCACAGCTTCACACTCCAGGACCATAGAGGTCCCATGGCAGCACCACCACTGCCTCGCTTCCATCCCTCAGCACCTTCCTCGTTTCCTCTCTCGGTAGCATTCCTCAAGAGTCATGTTTTCCTTCAGCAAGTATTTATTGAGCTCCTACTGTGCACCAGCTCTGCAAATACAGCAGAGAAGAGAATAAAGTCTGCACTTGTGGGGTTTATAATCTGTTCAGGGAGACAGGATAAACACAGGATAAAGATGTAGCATGTGAGTGCCGGCAAGTGCTGAAGAGATCAGCGAGCAGACCAGGGAGTGCGGAGAGAGGCACCTAAAGGCCTCACCCCCACGGGAGGGCTGAGCAGAGGCCGAGGATGGGGAGCATCCTGTGGATATGTGGGCAAAGGCCTTCCCAGGCGTGGGGGTGGTCGGGGGAAGCCCACGGCAGCCATCAGCCTGCAGCATCTGAGGGAGTTCAGAGCCTGTGCAGCTGGAGCAGAGGGAGCTAGAGAGAGTGGCAGGAAATGAGATCTGAAAGAGAACCTGCAGCTTGCAATGACCTGTTTCCCAAACTAACTGTGAGCTCCCTGAGGGCAAGGACCACATGTTCTTTACCTCTGTGATCCTGGTGTCCCGCACCCGGCATGCTGCAGGTGTTCTACATGCTGACTAGGAGAGTAATGGGTGGACAGGTACATCTAAGACAGATGGACAGAAGGGTGGATCAAAAGGCACTGAATGGGTAGATGGAGGGAGGGAAGAAGACGATGGGTGGACAGGCCAAAGAGCAGACAGATACATGGGTGGGTGGACAGGCGGAGAGGCAGATGGATGAATGGATGGACGGAGGAAGGAAGGGTGGTGCACTGGGTTGGCTGGCGAGTCAATGGATGAGAAATGATGGTGGGATGGGTGGGTGAGTCAAAGGATAGATGGTGGCCGGGCGTGGTGGCTCACGCCTGTAATCCTAGCACTTTGGGAGGCCGAGGCGGGTGGATCAGGAGGTCAAGAGATCGAGACAATCCTGGTCAACATGGTGAAACCCCATCTCTACTAAAAATACAAAAAAATTAGCTGGGCATGGTGGCGCATGCCTGTAATCCCAGCTACTCAGGAGGCTGAGGCAGGAGAATTTCCTGAACCCAGGAGGCGGAGGTTGCAGTGAGCCGGGATCATGCCATTGCACTCCAGCCTGGGTAACAAGAGCGAAACTCTGTCTCAAAAAAAAAAAAAAAAAGGATAGATGGCTATAAACACTGATAGAGCAGTGGCCAGACGGAAGGAGGAAAGAGCACCTATTTCCTATCAGAAGATGCAGATATCAAAAAAGTACTGGGCTGGATTCCAGGTCCCAGCTACTAACTTCTGTGACTCTCAGTAAGTCAACAGTCACCTGTAGGCCTCCCCATATAGAATAGAAAAATCCGACTTGGAGAATCCCTTTAGTTCTGATAATCTATTATCTTATCTTCCTGGCATTCCCTAGACATATTTGCACCCCTCATCCCACCTACCTAAGGCCAGCTCAGGCCAAACCTCATCACGCTCAGGTGGGGCATCAGACCCCTCCTTTCCTCCATCACACCTTTCTCCACGTGGACCTGCCACAGATGTGCTCATGGTGGCTCCCTGCTGAAGAACCCCGAGACTTGCACTTCACTAGCCTCCTGTTTGCAGATTTTCCAACCAAACCAATTGTAGGCATTACATAACGCAAATTCATTTTTCCAATTTTCTTAATAAGACACATAAAAGACACAGCTGAAGATAAAATGCCCAACCCTCCCCTACTACCCGCCCTAGTGCTGACCTTACTATGAAGGGAAGGAGGGACGGGACATGGTCATGCCGGGCCCCAGAACACACCTGACCTGTCTCACCATTCCCTCTCTCTCAGCTCCACCCTCTGCCTGCCAGGAGGTGCCGTGGGAGGGTGCTCTCTGCTTGGTAAGTGACCAGGACTCAACTCCTGATCCCACAATGGGCACAGACCTTGGGCGCCAGACCCTGTCTGCATAGGACTGTGCCCCTCCCTGACCCTTCAGTCCTTTTCTGTCCCCACTCCAATCCCAGAAATAGATTTTTTGGGGAAGGGGGGACATGGGCGTATTGGAAGCAGGTTCCTGGTTCCTGGGCTGTACACTCATCTCTGGCAGAACTCAGCCCCGGGGCCCCAGAGCAGAGGCTCTGTGCGGAGTGGCCAGCTGGGCCTGCAGCCAAGGTCAGAGGGGGCTGTCACTGCTCCCACTGCCTGCCCCTCATAGGCAGCCCTCACAGGTCCCTCCCCCTCTGCCCACTCATGAAATACTCCCATCTACCCAAGGACCTCCCCACTCACTCCCCGGCTCACACACACCATGGCTGCTGCCTGGAGCCTAGACCCAACCCCACACTGGCTGCTCTGTGACCCCACTCCTCCTCTCCACCTCCCTGCTCTGCCCAGCCCAGGCTTTGATCTTACGCAGCCTGCACAATCAGACAGCTGCTGCTGGGCCCCCTCCACCATGATGCCACGCTATCCCTTGACCCCACGGCCACCTAACCACCTCATGGTCCCCACGCCAGCCTCGCCCCTCATCCCAGCAGGTGCTTCACTCACACAGAACTTGTTGCCTATGTCACAAACAAGACCTCACCCCGCAGGGCCATGTGACCCCCCAAGAAATGGAATAATAACAAGTGGCCCCACCTTTCAGGACGGCTGGGATGAGTCAACGACTTGTACGTGTGGAAGTGCTAAAACTGTGCCAGGTGCTCAGAGCAGGCCATGCCGACACACGCAGCTGCAGAGTGCCACACAGACCCTGCACACACGGCTCTCCCCTCAGCCCACCCACTGACTACCAAGAGGGCTCAGCTTAGACAACACCTCGGCTTTGAGGCCCTCTGACTCCTTCAGGCCAACCCAGGGAGCTCCCACACGCACACGGCCCCCATCACAGCCACTGCTCCCACAAGGCTTCCAGCCGAACCTCTGTGATCCTGGCTCCCAGCACAGGATAAACACCTAAAAAATACTTGCTGCTCTCCAGTCTGACTCCAGCCTAAACCTCCCTCCCAGCCCTTCAGCTTCGGACTTAGATCCAAATGCCCCTCACTCTACACAGTCCTCAAACCAGAACCTTCCTCACCACCACCATGTGGGGGAGCTCCAGACCCGCTCCCACCACAGGTGTGGATCCCCGCCCCCTACCCCCCCACCTCTCCTTCACCTCGCCTCTCCATACTGCCTGAACCAGGGCCCAAATCTCTGAAATCATTTCCCATCTGGACCCTGCCCTATCCACCCTCCACAGGCTGAGAACACGGGGCCAGGTCCCTTCCACACGCTAAGCCACCAAGAGAGTCATCAGAACAAGGCAAGACAATGCCAAAGGAGGAAGAAAGGGCACCTGCCCAGGAAAGGGTCAGTGGCCAAGCTCCTGCATTCCTGAACCTCTGCTAAACTCAGCATAGGGCAGGGGTCCAGGCAATACAGGGGTGGAGTTGCTGGGAAACTCATCCTAGAGATGGGGACAGAGTAACCCCGGGGCTAGGCCTCTCACGTGCAGAGGGAGGATGCATGAACCCTTGATCCAGACACACCACCAATGACTCCCAGTGACCATCACTCAGGAGAGGTATGCTTGGCCCACCAGTTCTCCAGGCCAGAAGCAATATGCATGAATCTGGGGGCCTCCTGGGACCTGTGAGGGTTCCTCACAAGGGCACCCCCAAGACATGCATCCAGCTCCAGCCTGGGGACCGCCAAAGAACCAGATGCTGCCTTCTATAGGCAGCACCCCTTGGACTCCAGCACCCAGAGGGATCCTTCCAGGAAACCCAGGTGGCCAGCAGGGCTGGACGGAGGCCACTCACCAACCCCAGAAACTGCAGCCTTTACCTTCATATCCTCCCTGCAGGCTTAGGACTAGTCCCTCCCTCACCTGCTGCCCTCAGACCATCCCTGCCCCAGGGCACCCACCAGGGCAACTCCAGGCCCAACTGGCCTCATTTCCTCTTGGCTGCTCCAGGCCTCCCTGCTCTGCCCACTTGGACAATCTGTCCACTTTGGAAAAACGCCTCTTTTCTCACACTGACCTCCTTACATGTCTGCCAGCTACGCAGGAATCATGCATTCCACACACCTGGTGTTTCTGTAGGGATGGCCCTGGCAGGGTGTGGCAGTCACTGGGAGTCAGTGTGGGATCCCACAGACAGAGGCATCATCACGCGTGTGCGCCTCCCGGTGCACGACCCCTGTCTCTCCATGGCACACGAAGGATCAGGTCACACACACATTCCCAGGTATACGCAGAGTGCGTGCATGCATGTCCGTGTCATGTACGCAAGTTTGTGTCTACTTTGAGTGTTCGTTTGAGTTTACCTCTAGTCTTTTCTCTGTGAATATCCATGTGGATTTAGCACCAAGAGAGACCAAAAGGAAACCAGAAGAAGTCGTCCCCTTGGGAGCTGCCCAGGGGCCAGGGGGTCACTCACCAGGCCTCGTGTCATGCTGCCTCATCTGCACCTCCTCCACGCAGTCAGCCGGGAACCAGCCCGTGCGGCCTTTCACGGTTCCCTCCCAGAAACCGCCCTCCCCAATGCTGAGCACTGGAGGAAGAAGCCAGACAGGCCGTCAGTGGGGAGCAGAGCTGGGTGCCCACCCCTCCTCAGGCACCGGTTCTGCCCACCCACCCACTGCCCTTTCCCTCCTTCCCTTCCCACTTTCTCCCGGCTTTTTCCCTGGGAAGATTTTGGGATCCACACAGGAGAGAGAAAGGAACAGATGGGCTGGGCACACGGTGGGCATGTGGGGGACACACAGACACACAGATGAACACGCTCATGGAGGGGCACAGGCAGGGGCAAGGGCCACGCTCCTACCACTGCCCCCCAGCTGACCACGCTCCCCCAGCCCCTTGAACCAACCCCCATCCTGGCTCTACCACCCACCCAGGGGTCACTGCCAAGAGCTCGGGGTCATCGTGCTGTGGCCAGTGGGTGAGGCCACGTGATGCACCAGCTGGGCTGTTTCCACCTCAGCCGGCCCTGAGGCTACGACCCCAGTGATGACGGCGACACCCCCATAAGCAGAGGGGTCTGTCATGGCACTCGAGATCCCCATAAGGAGAGGGGTTTGTCATGGCACGCGATGCCCCGGAACACAGGAAGCCCCAGTGACAGATGCCTGCATAACACAGACACCCACATGACGGTCACAGACACCCCACGACGGCAAGGGTCCCCCACATCACACGGCCTCCAGTGAAGAAGCTGCAGAAGTGCCAGGGAACCCGGCCAAGCTGTGTGGTGGGACAAGGTCCTGCAGGCAGAGACCCCCGGGGACACAGAAATGCCCAAGGCGAGAGAGGCGCCTGCCTCCGTGGTGACACAGGGAGCCCGGAACGACAGAGCAGCTGGCGACCTGCACGGCAGGAATCTTCCCGGGCAGAGCCCTTCACCGTGACACCAGGGACCCCACATGGGCCCAGGCGGCGGCGCAGACCCCAGAGGCATCCCCTGCCCCGCCGGCCCGCGCTGCGCGGCGCCGCCCCCTCCCCGCCCCGGGCCCGCCCCCCGCGCCCCTCACCCTTCACGGCCTCTCCGCGGTGCAGCGGGATCTCGCCTTCGCCCTGCGGGCTGTGCGCCTTCACAGCGATGAACTTGCGGCCGGGGACTGCGCTGTAAAGTTTCCGCTTCGGGCCCCGGGGCGGCGGCGCGGGGGGCGCGGGGGGCGCGGGGCCGGGGCCGGGCGCAGGGCCAGGGCCGCCAGGCCCGCTCGGGCTGTAGACGAACACGTAGGTGACGGACGCGATGCCGGGGGGCAGCGGGCACGCGAAGCCGGCGCCCGGGGCCTCCATGGCGCGCGGCCCGGCCCCGCCGCCTCCGGCCTCACCGCAGCCGCCGCCGCAGCGCCCGCCGCCCACCGCCCGCCGCCCGCCTGCCCGCCGGGGGCCCGGCCCGGGGCCGCTCCATGGGCCGCGCCGCCGCGCCCGGCCCGCTCCCGCCAGCGCACGAGCCGCGCCCGCTCAGGGCTCCGGGGCCGCGGGGCTGCGCTCCTGGGCGCGCCAGGCTCGCTCCATGCCGCGGCCGCCCCGCGCCCCGCCTCCTCCGTGGCCGGGCTCCTCCCTCTGCGGGCGGCGGCGGCCCTCGCGCCCTCCCCGCGCCGCCGACCCCCGGGAGGGGGAGTTCCGACGGGATGCGGGACGGGGGTCTGGGCAGCCTGGGGTGAGCGGGGACGGGGCGGGGGCTTAGGCACCCGCGAAGAAGGGGAGGGGGCGCCCCGTCCCCCTCCAGGGCTGTGTCCCCTCGTCCTGGATACCGGCCCCTGCCCCCGCCCACTGCGTGAGGGCCCTTCCCCAGACTACTCCCCAACTGGGTCAGAGCCTGAACTCTCGCTCCGAAGGCTGCACTGGCTCCCTAGTACCCAGGCAGGCCAGAGCAACAAGCTCTTCCCCTGGGACTGGGGAATTTGCGACTCCGGTCACACAGGAGCACCTTCCTTCCCCTCCTGTGGGCTGTCCATCGCGCTGCTGCCAACACCTGCACCACGCTAAGCCTGACCCCTGGGCCAGCTGTGAATGGCTGACTGTCGGCCCAAACTCGCCCCGTCGTGCCCCGTGCGCTGCTGGGGCGGCTGCAGGGGGTCGGGCGCGGCTCCGCTCGGCCGACAGAGGGCGCTGCGGAGCCGCCGCCGACAGAGACCCGCACGGCTCAGGGCCCGACCTCACCTCCCCCAGAGCAGACCTCCTCCACGGCCTCTGACCTTCCTCAGTCCCTCCCGAGAGCTGCAGACCCTCATCCACTCACCCGGGCAGCCCCATACAGGGATTACTGCCCGTCTAACTGCTGCTCAGCCTGGGGCCTCAGCTGTCAACCTCCTGAGACCCAGTTAGGACCCCTGCTATCAGCACCTCAGACGCACTAGGCACCTAATAAATGTTTGCAAGGAAGAAAAAACCAGAATTCTGCCATCCCCACAAAGCATGTGAGCTGGAGCCCCTCACTCAGCAGGTCTTAGTTTTGTGTCTGCTGAAAGGATAAATGAACACACACAAAATATGAATACAGAGAGGAGCCTGTGGCAATGCGCACCTCCAACTTGGGGGCAGGCTTTCTGCACGATGGAAACATCCAGAATGTGTTATTTTAGCCACTGGGCCATCCAACCCTTAGAAAATCCACAGGACTATGCAAAAGTTTCAGGGGAGAACTGAGACTTGGGGCAGGACAGCCAGCCTTGGGAGTCCAGTAGCTCCAGGCAGAGAGACAGACACAGACATCGCTGAGAGGAGGCTACAGAGCAAAGGCAGCAGCACAGGGAGGGGCGCCTTCAATAGGGCCTGCTGCACCTGAGCCCTGCACTCAGGCTTAGAAAGTTGGGGATTGGGTCTACCTGGGGCCCAGTTAAGCAGATCCCTAGCTCTGTGGCCCTGGACCCATGATAGACCCCGCCTGAGTACCGGGACGCTCATCTGTAACATGGTACTAATAGGGCATGAACATGTACGTTGTCAAGGTTAAAGGAACTTAGTATACACATGCCACTCAGCCCAACAGCAGGCACAGAGTGACAGGACTGTAAAGGCCATCGGCCATCCTGGCGACAACGTACTGTTTATGTCACTCTTTCATTCAACAATGTCTGCTAAACACCCTCCTCAGTGCCTGGCTCTGAAGAAACCAAAAGCAACAAGAAAGATGGTGTCTGCCCTCGAGTCACAGGGAGGGCAGATGCTACGATCAGCAGTTGCTAGACTCTGCCAGGTGATGCCTCACCTGCCCAGGGCATTCTGGAAGGCTTCCCAAAGACAGTGACTTGGGTAGGATTGATCCCACGTACTGATGAGAAGCCCAGACACAAAATGGCTGAGAGCCAGTGCCCACCTCAGCACCCAGTGCACAGCCCATAGAGGCCAGAGGGCTCCAGGCCAGGCCTCCTACTCTAAGTTCTAGGGATACCTCAAACATCCCTGGCTTCTCAGGGTCCCAGGACTTAGGGTGGATGTAAAGAATAGAAGACACAGAGTCCTGTGGGTACAGCAGGGCTGGGGATGGGGAAAACCAAGAATACACCCTGGGGGCAGGGCTGGGGCTTACCTGTAGGTTTTGAGCTCTCCTGGAAAGGCAGCTCCATCCCTGACCCCCTTATCACAGACCACCAGCCCTGACTCTTCCAAGCCATGCTTGATACTGCAGTGTATTTTCTAAATCACACGTGGGAACATACCCTCTCCACACCTAACACACTCCCTCAACTGCCCACTGTCCTCACAGCAAGCCCAGCTCCGACCAGAAATCAGCCTATCCCTGCCTACAGAGATACCTTCTTCCCTTCCCCAACCAGGAAGGCCTAGCCCATTGCTACACAGGTGCCAGGCACCACCAGGCCCCTCTCTGCCTCCTGGCTCGGGTCCCAGCGCCCCACCCTACCCACCCCTACAGGGCCTCCCAGCTCCCTCCTACCTGATCTTGCTCTGGCTGCCCCTGCCTACTAAGGGGCCACTGATGTTGCTCTCCTGGTCGGCATCCCGGTCACGATCTTTCTCCTCTTGCAGCCGCTGGAGCAGCAGCTGGTGGGGGAGGCTTCTCAGCGAGGGTCCAGGAGAAGCTGCCGGCTGCGCCTCCCCCTTCAGGTTGATATCGCTGGCTGAGCGCTGCAGAGGCCGAGGGGATGCCAAGCCACTGGGGCCAGCCAGTCGCCGCCGCTTCGCATAGCTGGGAGTTTCCCTGAATGGTACTGGGGTAAGGAGGCGTAGTTAAGACTCTGAACAGGCAACTGGGTAACCAACTTGTCCAGTTTGCCCAGCCTTTCCCAATTTTAAAACTAAATCCGATATTGCAGGAACTGCCTTGGTTCCAGGGAAACCAAAAGAATTGGCCACCCTACGAATGAAGCTACCACTGAGGGGCCTCATCCCAGTCAAACTGCCTCTCACTCTAGCTTCGGAGGTAGAAGCCTGCTTCTCCTCTCAGCCAAATGAGGCCTTGAGGATGCTGAGATATGCTCTGAGAACTGCATTTTACAAGCTTCAGGAGAGACAAAACAGGCTACATGTGACAAATATCACCAGACTCCTGCTGAACAGGACCATTTGCAGTTAACTATAACCAGGGAAACTACAAAAGACATTTTAGACCAGGGATCGGCAAACCTTTTCTGTAAAGATTGGGCAGTAACGACTTAAAGCTTTGCAAGCTATGTAGTCTGTGTTGTAATGACTCAACTCTGCCACCACAGCATGAAAACCACCGCAAGCAACATAGAAGCAAACAGGTGAGTTTGTGTTCCAATGGAATTTGACTTAAAAAGCAGATGGCGATTAGAAAATATGACCCAACTACATGCTACTTACAAAATAATCACTTTAAGTTCAAAGACACAAACAGGTTGAAAATGAAAGGATGAAAAAAGCCATCTCAGCCGGGGGCAGTGGCTCACAACTGTAATCCCGGCCAAGGCAGGTAGATCACAAGGTCAGGAGTTTGAGACCAGCTTGGCAGGCATGGTGAAAGCCCCTCTTTACTAAAAATACAAAAATTAGCTGGGCATGGTGGCAGGCACCTGTAATCTCAGCTACTCAGGAGGCTGAGACAGGAGAATTGCTTGAACCCGGGAGGCGGAGGTTGCAGTGGGTCAAGACCGTGCCATTGCACTCCAGCCTGGGAAACAGAGCAAGACTCCGTCTCAAAAAAAAAAAAAAAAAAAGAGATCTCATGTAAATAGTAACCAAAAGATAGCTGGGTGGCTATATTAATGTCATACAAAATAGACTTTAAGATAAAAACTGTTAACAAGAGACAGAGAAGGACATTATATGCTAACAATTATTAACATATACACACCGAACAACAGAACTGTTGTTAATCAAATATGATACAAACAACGCAATTTAAGAGAAAAATAGACAGTTCCACAATACTAGTAAAAGACTTTAATACCTCACTTTCAATAATGGGTAGAACATCTGGAGCTCAATCAGGACACAGAAAACGGAACCCATTAGACCTAATGATACATACAGAACACACCACCCAGCAAGAGCAGAATATAGTCACGAATTCTTCTCAAGTACACATGGAACATTCTCTAGGACAGACCGTATGGCCACAAAACAAGTCTCGATAAAGTTTTAAAAGACTGAAATCATACAAAATATCTTTTTCAATCATAACATAACGAAGGTAGAAATCGAGAACTGAAAGAAAACTGGAAAATTCACAAATATGTGGAAATTAAACACCATACTCCTAAACGACCAATGTGTCAAAAAAGAAATCAGGCTGGGCATGGTGGCTCAAGCCTGTAATCCGGTACTTTGAGAGCTCAAGGCAGGAGGATCAGTTGAAGCCAGGAGTTTGAGACCAGCCTGGACAACATAGTGAGACCACCCCCCATCTCTATAAAAAAAAAAAATAGCCAGGTGTGGTGGTGTACCCTGTCATTCCTGCTATTCAGGAAACTGAGGTCAGAGGATGACTGGAAACCAGGAGGTTGAGGCTGCAGTGAGCTATGATGAAGCCAGGGCACTCAGCCTGGGCCACAGAATGGCAGCCTATCTCTTAAAAAAGAAGAAAGAAAAGAAAAGAAATCATAAGGAAAATTAGAAAACGCTTTAAGACAAATGAGAACAAAAATACAACATATGGAGCAAAGGTAAGGGAAATGTATAGCTGTTAACACTTACTTTTAAAAAAGGAGAACAATCTCAAATCAATAACCTAATTATACATCTTAATAAACAAGAGACGGCCAGGATCTGTGCCTCACGCCTGTAATCCCAGCACTTTGGGAAGCCAAGGCAGGCAGATCACCTGAGGTCAGGAGTTTGAGACCAGCCTGACCAACATGGAGAAACCCTGCCTCTACTAAAAACACAAAAGTAGCCGGGTGTGCCGGCACATGCCTGTAATCCCAGCTACTCAGGAGGCTGAGGCAGGAGAATCGCTTGAACCCGGAAGGTGGAGGCTGCGGTGAGCCAAGATCGCATCATCCCACTCCAGCTGGCAACAAGAGCCAAACTCCATCTCCAAAAAAAAAGAAAAAGAAAAGAAGAAACTAGAGAAAGAAGTGGAAAGGAAGGAAGGGAGGGAGGGGAAACTAAAGAGCAAACCAGGGAGAGAGGGAGGGAGGAAGTAACTACAGAAAGAACAAACCAGACTAGCAAAACAAAGGAAAGCTAGCGAAGGAAGGAAACAGTTAAGATTAAAGCAGAGATAAACAAAATAGAAAAACTGTGGAGAATTTTTTTAAAAAAAAAAAGGTTGTTTCTTGGACAATACGAACATAATTGACTAGTAAGGAAAGAAGATGGACAAAATTAACTAAAATCACAAATGAAATCTGGGGTCTTACTACCAGTATTACAGAAGTTAAAAAGGAATATGAGGCCGGGCGCGGTGGCTCACGCCTGTAATCCCAGCACTTTGGGAGGCCGAGGTGGGTGGATCACGAGGTCAAGAGATCGAGACCATCCTGGTCAACAAGGTGAAACCTCGTCTCTACTAAAAATACAAAAAATTAGCTGCGCGTGGTGGCGCGTGCCTGTAGTCCCAGCTACTCAGGAGGCTGAGGCAGGAGAATTGCTTGAACCGAGAAGGCGGAGGTTGCGGTGAGCCGAGATGGCACCATTGCACTCCAGCCTGGGTAACAAGAGCGAAACTCCGTCTCAAAAAAAAAAGGAATATGACATAATACTATGAACAATTATATGCCAACAATTAGAAAGCTAGATGAGGTGAACAAATTTCTAGAAAAACACAAATTACCAAAACTGACTCAAGAAGAAACAGAAAATTTAAACAGACCTATAATAAGCAGAGATTGAATCAGTAACCACAAACCTCCCAACAAAGAAAAGTCCACCACCAGATGGCATCACTAGTGCACTCTACCAGAAATTCAAAGAATTGACACAAATTCTTCTGAAGTTCTTCCAAAACATGGAAGAAGGAACACTCCCTCATTTCATGAGGCCAATATTATCCTGATATCAAACCCAGATAAGGGCATTACAAGAAAAGAAATCTACAGACCAATGTAATCAATATAACACATCACATTAATAGAACAAAGGGGGAAAAAAAGGGTGATCATTTCAATTGATGCAGAGAAAGCGTTTGCCATAATCCAACATGCTTTCATTATAAAAACACTCAGAAAACTAGCAATAGAGACCAGTAACTTCCTCGACATGATAAAGGACAGTTATTAAAAATCCAGTCCAGGCGCCGTGGCTCATGTCTATAATCCCAGCGCTTTGGGAGCCCGAGGCAGGTGGATCACGAGGCCAAGAGATCGAGGCCATCCTGGTCAACATGGTGAAACCCCGTCTGTACTAAAAATACAAAAATTAGCTGGGCGTGGTGGTGCGTGCCTGTAATCCCAGCTACTCGGGAGGCTGAGGCAGGAGAATTGCCTGAACCCAGGAGGCGGAGGTTGCGGTGAGCCAAGATCGCGCCATTGCACTCCAGCCTGGGTAACAACAGCGAACCTCCGTCTCAAAAAAAAAAAAAAACATCCATAGTGCTTGCTTCAGCGGCATGCACACTAAACTTGGAATGATACAGAGAAGGTTAGCAGGGCCCCTGCACAAGGATGAAATGCAAATTCATGAAGCATTCCATATTAAAAAAAAAAACACGCATAGATAACATCACATGCGATGGTAAAAGATGCAACGCTTCCCCCTAGGGTCACAAACAAAGCAAAGACGCCTGCTTTCACTACTGATATTCAACATTGCACTGGAAGTTCTAGACCGACAAAAATAAAATTTTAAAAAGGCACCCAAACTGGGAAGGAAGAAGTAAAACTATCTCTATTTGCAGATGGCATGATCCTATATATAGAAATCCCAAAGAATACAGCAAAAGAGCTACTAGAGCTAATAAACAAAATCAGCAAAGTTGTGGGGCACAAGATCAGCACACAAAAATCACTTGTTTTTATACACCAGCAATGAACAATCCAAAAAAGAAATTAAGAAAATAATTTAATTTATAATAGCATCCAAAAGAAGAAAATACTCAAGAATAAATTTAAGGAAATAAAAAGATCTGTATACTCAAAATGACAAAACACTGCTTAGAGATGACTTAAATAAAAAAAAAAAAAGGACATCCCATGTTCATTAATTGGAAGACAATAGTGTTAAAATGTTAATGTCATCCAGAGTAACGGACAGATTCAATGCAAAATTCCAACGTCCCTTTTTTCACAAATAGAAAAGCAATGTTCAAATCTATATGGAATTGCAAGGGGCCCTGATTAGCCAAAACAATAACAAAAAAGAAGAACAAAGCTGAACCACTCAAACCTCCTGAATTCAAGTTACTAAAACGCCAGGCGCAGTGGCTCATGCCTATAATCCCAACACTCTGGGAGACTGAGGTGAGTGGATTACCTGAGGTCAGGAGTTTGAGACCAGCCTGGCCAACATGGTAAACCCCATCTCTACTAACAATACAAAAATTAGCTGGGCGTGGTGGTGCATGCCTGTAATCCCAGCAACTCAGAAGACTGAGGCAGGAGAATCGCTTTAACCTGGGAGGCGGAGGTTGTAGTGAGCCAAGATCGCACCATTGCACTCCACCGTCTGACAAGAGTGAAACTCCATCTCCAAGGAAAAAAAATAGAAAGTTACTACAAAGCTTCAATAATCAAAACCACGTGGTATTGTCCTAAGAACAGACATGTAAACCACTGGGATAGAATTGAGAGTCCAGGCCGGTGCAGTGACTCACGCCTGTAATCCCGGCACTTTGGGAGGCCGAGGCGGGCAAATCACAAGGTCAAGACCATCCTGGCCAACATGGTGAAACCCCATCGCTACTAAAATACAAAAATTAGCCGTGTGTGATGGCATGTGCCTGTAATCACTTGAACCCACGAGGCAGAGGTTGCAGTGAGCCAAGATTGCAGGACTGCACTCCACCCTGGGTGACAGAGCAAGACTCCATCTCAAAAAAAAAAAAAAAAAGAACTGAGAGTCAAAATAAACCCACATATCCAGGATCAACTGATTTTCAATAAGGGTGCCAAGACTATTAAATGGGAAAAGAATAGTGTCTCCGATAAATGGCGCTCGACAATTGGATATTCATATGCAAAAGAATGAAGATGGCACCCTACCTCACACCATTAACACAAGTTAACTCAAAGCGGATCAGTGACCTAAATATAAGAGTGAAAACCGTAATATTTTTAGAAGAAAACAAAGAGGGTAGACCCTTGTGACCTTAGATTTGGCAACAGACTCTTAGCTATGACAACAAAAGCATGAACAACAAAAGAAAAAAATAGACACATTGAATTTATCAAAATTAAACATTCTTGTACATTAAAGGGCATTATTCAAAAGTGACAAGGGGCCGGGCGTGGTAGCTCACGCCTGGAATCACAGCACTTTGGGAGGCCGAGGTGGACAGATCACGAGGTCAGGAGATTGAGACCATCCTGGCTAACACGGTGAAACCTTGTCTCTATTAAAAATACAAAAAATTAGCTGAGCGTGGAGCCACATGCCTGTAGTCACAGCTACTCGGGAGGCTGAGGCAAGAGAACTGGTAGAACCCAGGAGGTGGAGGCCGCCGGGAGCCGAGATCATGTCCCTGCACTCCAGTCTGGGTCACAGTGCGAGGCTCTGCCTCAAAAAAAAGGAACAAGGATCTCTTATGCTACAGAAAAAACATTTTAAAATCACATACTTCATACAAGTTTAGTTCTCAGAATATATCAAGAACTCTTACAACTCAACAACAACAAAAATAAACCACCCAATTTTAAAATGGACAAAGGACTTGACTTTTCTCCAAAGAAGACACGCAAATGGCCAATAAGCGCATGAAAAGAGGCACAACATCATTAGTCACTAGGGGAATACAAGTCAAAACCACAATGAAATACTATTTCACACTTAACTAGGATGGCTACAGTCAAAAAAAGAATAGTAACAACTGTTGGTTCTTGAAGATGTGAAGAAATCGGAAGCCTCGTACATCACTGGTGAGAACGCAAAATGGTGGAAACCAGTTTGGCAATTCCTCAAAAAGTTAAACATAGGATTACATGACTCCAAAATTCCATTCCCAGGTATATACCTAAGATATTGAAAATAGGTATTCGAATACATGTACACACATGTTCAGAGCAGCAATGTTCAAAATGGTAAAAGGTAGAAACAACCCACCTTTCCACTGACAGATGAATGTATAATCAAAATGTCATTTATCCCAACAAGGAAGTAGGATTCAGCCAAAAGAAGGAATGAAGTGGTGATATATCCTACAAGGCGGAGGAAGCTCAAAAACACGTGGAGCAAAAGAAGCCAGACACTAAGTGTCATATATTATATGATTCCATTTACGTGAAATATCAAGAATAGGTAAATCCATAATCCACAGAGACAGAAAGTGTGCTAACGGCTGACAGGGTTGGAGGGAGAGGGTAATTCATGCAGAATTATTGCTTAATGTGTCCAGGGTCGTCTTTTGTGGTGATGAAAATGTTTTGGAATTCAATAGACTGGGCTGCACAACACTGTGAATATACAAAATGCCACTGAATCATTCTGGCCTGGGAATGATCGCTGCTTCCTTGCCTCTGGCACCTTGGGCCACTCTTCAGGTCCACATTGTCTCTTACCCTCTCTCATGCACACACCCCTAGGCACAGCTGTGTTCTCACAGGCATGATACCACCCTGGAGAAGCATTTCCCCAAGGGACTCATCGAAAGCACTGAGGGCTACCAATTCCACCCCCAAGCCAGGGACCCACCCATGGCCTGCAGTCTGGAGGGGACAAGCAGGGCTGTCAAGAGGCCGCAAGGTATCCTGTCCCATGAAGGGTGGACACAGTCTACCAGATCCTACTAGGTGGGACCTTCCTTCCAGTCCTCTTCTGTGTACAGGCCCCACCCTGGGACCCCAGTGGGGGTAGGACGTGGCAAGCCATGACTGTCACATCCTTGCAGCAAACGTGTACAGATGGCATGAGAGTGACAAGGGCAGACTGTGAATCAATCAGATCTGAATTAACCCCCCTGTGCCTCAGTTTCCTTCTCTGTAAAACAGTCTAATAATCACTCCTTGGGGAGTTGTTGAGAGGGAAAATTGAGATAAGGGGCTTGTATGAAATCCTGACAAACATGTTGCCTGTTCTCAGAAAATCTGGCGGTGCCCCTCTTGTGTCTGTGTGTGACAGCTGAGCAGGTTAAGGGTGTTGTTGGCCCCTGGAACCGATGACCACATCAGAACAAACTGACACAGGTGCCCGTTCCCTACCACTCAGGGACGGTGTATCTAACCTCCACCGAGCAAGCACACCTGGGTTGGATGGCCAGGAAGTCACAATCATGGTGACCCCAAGAGCCCTGGGGTATCTGTCCACAGCACACAGATGAGGGGCAGACGGCGTCTTCCCACCCCCCCTCCAAGCCACTAAACCAAGGCCACCAGCCAGAGCCCATCCCCACCCAGAATCAAATGCCACAGGAGGCCACAGGGAGAAGGGGATGCAAATGACCTTAAGAGACCATGTTTCACTCAAAAGAAGCTGAGGTGCAGAGGTCCTAGACAGCTTTCTCATGCTTAGCTAACTACAGGCAGAAAAGAAGGCCTCACACATGTACAAACCAGGCTTCTCCAAGGCTAAGGGCCACCTCCAAAACATTCCCCAGTCCAAATCAGCAGTAACTTATCCCTTGCCCCTTACACAAACCCCAAACCTTACCACAGTTCTCCCCTGACCTGACCCTGGACTCTGACCCTACCCATCCCACTGGCCCAGTTACTCAACACACACTTCCCTACAGCGGCCATGAGAGCAGCTGGCAGCCGTGGCACTGAGGGTCTGCCACAGCCTCGGGTGGTTCAACTGTTAAGGTGGCCCTGACACAGCTTGGGGTGGAGGGGCTCAAAAACCAAGCCTTACAGGGGGATGTTCAGGGGGAACTCTGCAGAAGAAGGGCCCTTAAACATGAATCTGAACTTAATCTTAACCTCAGTCCAAAATTCAACTCCAGCCCTGACCATAACCTCACATTAGAACCAAGTGAGATTCCAACCCTTACAACGGCCCCGAACGTTTGGTGCCTCACTGTCACTTCAAATTAAAACAAAAACAAAAGTTGAGGACACCAGCAAGTAAACACAGGTGGCAGGAAGGGGATCCTGGGAGTCCATGTTCCAGAGAGAGGCACGGGCAGAAAAGCCCGGCCCACCCAGGACAGGAGGGGTCGGCAAGGGAGTTTCTGTGCAGCCAGGGGGCTGGAAGGAGCCTCTGGCCAGCAGCAACGCTCCCAGAGGGAGCCTACCCTCTCCGGCAGCCACAACAGGACTATCCCAGCCTAGCACCACACCCACTATAGACCTCCCGGAGGCTCAGGTGTCCCAGCTGAGGCCACATGGGTGTCTCCCGGTTTTCCTTCCAGGACTGTGAGACGCACACACAGCAGGCTTTCCTCTATACGCAGGCAGCAGGGGGCCCAGAGCTCCTGCCCTGAGGACGGCTGTGGCACTATTCCCAGCCCCATTCTGCTTTCCCATCACTGTTTTGTTTTCTTTACGTGTCGTTTGTGATCTTTTTATGTTGACAGCTTGCTATGGACCACCTAGACTCACTCTTGCTCCAGGGTGAAGTCAAACCCACCATCCCCATGTCTCCTGCTGGCCCTTCCTAGGATTTAATGGGAAACAGGGACTCTGATCCTAACTTCAACCCCACTCTCAACCTACGCTGCCCCCTAAGCCCAGTGCTAGCCCCAGCCCACAGCCCAAAACCTCACTATGCTCCTCTCCCAGACCAAAACCAAGGTCCACTCAACACAGGCCCCTCCCTTGGCCTGTTCCTCATGCCTGCAGTGGCCACCCAGAGATCACTGGCCACACAGAGAAGATGTGGGGCATGGGGCCCCTTTGTTACATCACCACTGACCCCCACATCTGCCGGGCCCCAGAAAACCACATGAATCTACATTCAACAAGGACACCCAGGTGGGCAGAACTCACCAACATCCGAGTCTTTGTGGGTCTTGATAACCTCTGCAAGCTCAAAGTTCCCTGCGATGATGGCCACCTGAGGGAAAGTGGGAGTCAAGGTGTGGAGGGGCAGGGAGGGGGCTGAGCAGTGCCAGCCTTGCCTCCCCAGCCAGCCCCAGCTGCTCCTTCTCAAGCTCGTGTGGAGTCTTTCTTGGTTGGGGGCCACGGAGATCCCAGCCCATTCCTCTTCTCTATTGACACACACTCCTGGTAACTGGGACGCCACAGGCATGCCCCATAACTAGACTGACCCACCATCTGCCTGGGACCGAGGGGCTAACAGACAGGAGAAACTCAGAGCTAAAACCAGCAGTCCCAAGCAAATGGGCACACTGGTCTGTCCCAACATGCAGCCATGTTCGCCATGTTTCCAGTCTCAGCCAAGGCCCCACTGCTGCCCAAGCCGCTAAGCTCATCCCCGCTTCCCATGACCCTGCATCCAGTCTTCCAACAGGCCCTGGAGTATCTGCTTCCAGATGTGCCCAAACCCACTGCTGCTTCACTGTCCGTGACCACACACCTCGGCAGCCTGACTACTTCCTGCACCTCCCTCCTATTGAAAATAGAGTTCTGGCTCCTTTCCTGGGCCACAGACCTCCACGATATTCCCCTGACTTCCCAACAAACTCCAAGTCACAGAGACCACATCCACCTGGTCATCAGTGCCAACAGACCTTGCCAGAGAAGGGGCTCGGAAACCTCCCCTGAATTACATCAGCAGCTGGGACCACACCCCGTCTCCAGTTCAGCTTCTGCACCCCTGCTGGTCTCTCGGTGGCTGGGGCCGGGGGCGGTCAGACCCATACCTGCCATCCCAGTCTTCTCACCCTCCCCATTCCTCTGCCCCCAGAGCCCTTCTGAACCTCTTCTCTCCCTGGCAGGAGGATGAAGGGAACATTGGCACCAAGCACCTCCTCACGTGCTGGGCTTGCCCCCCACCACCTCCACCTCCTCCTGCAGCAGTCCTGGGGGAGGTGCTCCCTTAGGGCCTTCCAGGGAAGAACCAAGGTTCGGAGAAGTCAAGTCACCACCCCAGAGAGACACCTTGGGGGCAGCCTTGGGCTCCTAAGCCCCCACTGTACCTGGAAGGCTGTCTGGCTGTTGTAGTTACGCACATCCCTGTTGGCTCCACGGAAGAGCAGGACACGAGCACAGCTCTCCTGTTGGGGGGAAGAGGGGGTCACAGCTGGGTGGCCGGAGAGACCATCCGAGCACAATAGCACATGTGCATACAGGAACACACACATGGTGCGTGTAGGGCACAGGCACACAGACTCACACCTATGCACTCAATGAGTGGCACAGGGACAAACAGGTAGGTATACACGTCCAGGGATCACCTGGCCCAGAGGGCCTAGATGTACCCAATTCATACCTGGCTATTCAGAACACACGTGCACACGTGTGAAGCACGCGTTTTCAGAGAACAAAGGTGCATATGTAGGCCTATGAGGCTGTGCTGTGACAACTCTCTGCAGAACCCAGAGCACATGTATGCACAGGGCACACAGGCATGCACATACACAACCACTGTACAGGATCACCTGTGTGCACACACACGTACGCCCCCCGCACAGGCAAGTACATCCACACTCCCCGGTGCACACGTGTGCAGCACACGCAGTCACACCTGGTTGTAGAGGGCACAGATGTGCAGGGCTGTGTTCCCTGAGGCGTTCTGGGCCCCCATGTCTGCCCCGTAGAAGAGCAGGTGCTCCAGGTGCTGCACGTGCCCGAAGCGGCAGGCCTAGGGGAGGAGAAAGGTGCTGCAGGGTCCCTGGGCAGAGGCTAATGTAGGGCTGCAGGTCCCCACAGGGTCGTGGGGTGTCCTTTATGCTGTGCTGAGGAGCAGGATCCAAGAAGTAAAGAGACGGGACACTGAAGAACTGAAGAAGAGCAGCTGGACTCGGGGGGCCACGCCACCTATGAGTGGAGACCGGCGAGAGCCCCAAATGCCCAGAAGCATCTGTATTTATTAGGTACAAGCAGGGGGCAGGGTCATAAGTGAGGTCATCATCTACAGACTTAGTAATAGGGCATATAATCACATGAGTCACAACCGAGGAGGCCACCCCATTAGGTCACCTGGGCAGAGAGGTGGGCCGTGCACAGTAGTAGAGGGTCGTGTACAGAAAAGGGGTCCACCCCCATTAGGTCACTGAGGCAAGGAGGTGGGCTGTGTGCAAAAGGTGTCGTGAGCAACACTTCTTATCTGGGGGCTGGAGACTTCAAAGGGTTTCTAATAGAAGGATACTGCAAGCCAATGCACTGGGAGCTGACAGACGTGTGCTCTTCTCTTAAAGATATTTATGGGAGGATGATTTAAGCTACCACAGAAGCGAGAAAACACTGACAGGGCGTACAGCCGTCGTGACTGGTCACACCGGACGGGTTCTTCTCCCTCAGTTACTTCCAGGATCCCAGGCCTGAGGCCTACTTTCCACAGGAACTGGATGCAAGGTACTACAGCTCCTTTATCAGGAGGAGAGGCTCTTGCTCCAAGCCTGCCACACAGTGTATGCCCTTTCAGGCAGGGACGCCACAGCCAGGGTCTTTGGTCCTTGTCCTGGTCTTGCTGTTTTCCCATGTACTGCTTCTGTTCTGTGACTGCTCTGGGCATTCCTCCTACTATAAACTACTATATGGTTATATAGAAGGATTATATAAATCAGCACTAAATGTGTCAGTACAGTTCCGACTACAATACCTATGTGATTATATAGAAATATTATACAGAACTAAGTATGCTAGATATATATTAGCTAGTATAGTAAGCAATAAGTTATTATATGATTATACAGAAAACCTATACAGGACTAAGTATGACTATATATATAAGCTAGATAAAAGTAAGCAGTGAGTTATACTTCAGGCACTAATTGTGCCTGGGGTCTGCACAGTTTCCTTGGTGCCCCTGGGGGGTGTTACCCACGGGCTAGGGCCCCCACCCCTACAGACAGAACCCAGGACCCCCCCCCACCCAGCACACAGAGGTCGGGACCCCACCTCAGCTCCCTGCACACCTGGTGGATCTCCTGCCAGCCATTCTCGTCGGTGGTCCCCAGCTGAGCATGGTCGTGGAGAAGCAGCTCACAGCAGAGGGCATCCCCACCCCCCAGGGCGCTGTGGTAGAGGGGTGTCAAGCCGCGGCTGTCCTTGTAGTCAGGTGATGCCCCCAGGTCCAGCAGGGTCTGAGGGTGAACAGCCTCAGTATTCACACCAGGCACAGCAGCCCCCAGCCCCACCACCAGGAGAGAGTCCCTCCAGGCCAGGGCCTGCCCTCACTGACCGTCAATGCCGCTGCATTCCGCTGGCGTGTGGCACAGTGCACAGCAGTGAGCCCATCACGAGTGCGAAAGTCCAGGTGGGCACCGCCGTTCTTCAGCACCTTCAGCAGGTCCGTGGCATTGTCCAGCTGGGCTGCAAGGCTCAGGGGGCACTCTGGATTCAGAGACAGATGAGGGTCAGGCTCCCGGTCACTCAGAGGCCATGCCCCTCCCTATTCTGCTCCTCACCTCCTGAGTCAGGGTCATGGAAGTTGGGGTCCAGCCCCTTGTCCAGCAGGCGGGCCACCTTGTCTGTGCTATGCAGCTGGACATAGTCCATGAACTTCTTCAGGTTCGCCTGAAACACCAGCCGCCAGTCAGCCTGGCACCAATGCCTCTGTCATCTGACCATCACCCGCCTTCCTCCTGCAAGCCTCAGGCCACCTTCGGGCATCCCCCACCACATCCCTACCAGTCTGACCTGTCACCTGACATCACCGTCGTCACCCACAGCCCTGCGCTCCTACCACGGCCCCAATTCCTACTTGGCAGGGCCCATGCATGGCTCAAAGCCCTTCCTTGCATCCTGAGAGCCAAACCAGCCACGACCGCCAGCCTGCACCCAAGTAGCCCCTCACTAAGGCCAGGTCACCCAGGTCGTGCCCCAGTCAAGTCCCTCACTCCAGGCTCAGTCCCTGCCCTGCCTCTGTGTCTCCGGCCCTGCTGCCCCAACCTGCCTGGCCTGGAAGAGCCCGAAGTCTACCCAGGCGGGAACCAGCCCCACAGCAGCCCTGAATCCTCAGCACCCTGAGACGCCCTACTCCTTCTCCAGCCCATCTTCCTCTCCAGCTCACCCCATGGCACACCCCCACCCCAGGGACCCCTCCTGTGACATGACTTTGATGGCCTTATACTCACTCACTCAGTTTATCCACTTGCCCCACAAGACCACACTTGCCCAGGTGGCTCTACAGATACCACACACACAAGGCAGGTCCCCTGGTCAAAGACCCAGGCCCTTCCATAAACCCTCCATGTACAGCAGAAATAGGGGAGGGCACCACAGAGACCCCTGCCAGGCAGTGAAAGAGAAGGAAGTGCTCACTACAAGGGGAGAGGGAAAGGCCGGACGGAGCCCAGGGAGGCAGCAACATGGGGCTGAGTCAGAAGTTTAAGCTCATTCCGAAAGCAGACGAGACCCACTGAAGAATGAGTCATTCATGTCTTGTTGGTCACTGCGGGGAGATCTGGAGGGAGACGTGGTCATGGGGGAGGGAACCCAGGCTGACAGGGTCAAGTGATGGCCAGTGGAGGGAGAGGGGGAATTTTCCACAGTGGCCTCTGCCCATCCACATTGCCAAGGCATTGACCACCACCTGCCCAAGGACAGCAGAAAAGTCTGACACAGAAGCCCGAGGCTCCAAGGTCACTGACCGGACCATTAGGGCACAGGGGTGACAGTGTTCTCTGATCCTTCTCCTAAGCTCCAGAGCTCATCCATAAAGTATCCCCCAAGCAAGTGCCTGCTGGCCCATGAGCTTGGGGTGGGAGCCCATGGGGAGATGCTGTGGCACCAACACTGCCCCTCTGACATTCAGAGGCGGTAGAAAGGTGCCCCCCAACAGCATTTCGGGTCAGGCCCAGCCGGAGGTGGCATCCAGCAGTAAAGACACCTCACAGGTATGCTTGGGGACTGGGTCTGGAATCAGACAGACCTGGGTTCAGCCTCAGCTTCACCGTCTACAAAGTCGTGAACAAGTGACTTAGCTTATCTGGCACTCTGGGTCCCCATGTGCCAGATAGGATTCTATTAGTCCCTCCAGGAGAGGATTAATGAGAGGTCTCATTACAAATGCCCAGCACTGGCTGACCACTCAGTGCTGGGTGCCTTGTCCCGACAGCCATCACGTCAGATGCTTGTCCATTCTCTGTGCCACCCAGCTTCTCACAGGACACTCTAGCCCCCAAGCCAGGGGGTCGGTAAGAGTCTGATCTAACTGGAACACACCACTGGACCACCTGCTCCCCCAGCTATGGTGCCTGGAATCTGTGCCCAGCCCTCCAGCCACACCCAGCACTGTCTCTGGGCCCCTGACAGTAGGGTAAATAGACTGAGCTGAAGCTGGGGGGGACTGTGGTCAGCCCCAAGCTGGAGTGGGGGGCAGCAGCCACAGGGAGGCAGGAGAGAACCTCAGGAGCACCCCCCTCGCCATGACCCTTTACCTTTGTGTGAAGCTTTGCAAACTGCTTATCATCGATGAGGTTCTGGGCATAAACTCGCCGCTTGTATCGAAACTGCTCAGATAAAGAAAAGGTAGAGAAAACGCCCTCATCCCAGCTAAGCAAGGGAGTCCACGCACAAACCCTGTTCCACTCATGCTGGCCACAGTGCACCCCTCCACTGCCCTCCTGTACACACCATCAGTGCAGCACAACCCAGTGCCACCAAACCCAGACGCACATACTACCACGGTGGACAGAGCTAACAGCTGTCATGCACCCACCACACCCAGGCATCAGGCAGCGTGGTGGAAGGCACATTCGAGCTGCCCGCAGCCTGCAGCGTCCCGTCTCCTTCCCATCCCCAGGATTCCCTAAAAATCCCACGCCTCTCTGAAGGCCTCACTCCAGGCTCACCTCCCAAGACATCCCCCTCCACTTTCCAGGTAGAACTGACCCCACTTTCCCATGCCATCATGGAGACCAGCCCAATTTTGAGCTCAGCTCCCAAAATCTTTATTCAATGCTCATTGCAGTTGGGTGCCCCCCTCCACACTGCCAAACTCCAAGACCTTCCACAGGACGGAACCAGTCTGTGAGTCTGTGTCCCCATGCCTGGCAGGGCACTCAATACATCTTCACACCATGCATCGGTGAGCAAAGGAGACTTAGGTTGGCCTTCACAAGACTTCACAGCTTGTGAAGAGAAAGGAACAAACGTGCACACAGACAACCCTGCTCACACCACACACCCCTCGGGCACTCATTCCTGCTCACACTCCTCCCTGGAGAACAATGCATTGATACCACACACGCTGCTCACTGCACACACTGTTCAAACTGCACACACACACAATCTGACTGTACGTGTGGCTCACTACACACACACTATACACACTGTGCACGCTTCTCACTGTGTACTGCACATGCTGCTTGCCACAATTACAACGCTGCTCACACGGTACTCACTGCCCCAAACCGCAATGCTGTACACATGGCTCACTGCATGCAGTGTACACACTCACTGCACACACAGTGTGCCACTCACCACACACCGTGTACACACTCACTGCACACTGTACATGCTCACTGCATGCACTGTGTGCACCCACTGCACTGCCTGCTCACTACACAGGCTCACTGCACGCACTGCCCACCACTCGCTGCACACACTGTAGATGCTCACTGCATGCACTGTGTGCACCCACTGCACTGCCCGCTCACTGCACATCCTGTACACAATGCATGCCACTCATTGCACACCCTGTACATGCTCTCACTGTACATCCTTACTGCACACTGTGGCCGCTCACTGCACACACTGCCCACTCACACTGTACATACTGCACACACTGTGCCCGCTCACTGCACACCGCTCACACTGTACATCCTGACTGCACACACTGTGCGCGCGCACACACACCGCCTCCACCCTGGAGCTTGGGGGTCTACTCTGCGCGCTGCTCAGCTCGCCCCGTGCCGCCGCTCACCTCCAGGTAGGGCAGGGGCGTGTCCAGATTAGGCGGGTAGTCCTGCAGGAGCCGCTCCTCGTCCAGGAACTTGCCGGCGCGGCCCCGGGAGGGCGGCTGGAAAAGCCCATAGTTGAGCGCGTCCTGGAGGCTGTGGTTGAGGGCGCAGAGCACGCGCTGCTTGGCGGCCCACACGGGCGCGGTCGGGTCCAGGCGCAGGCACTTCTGCAGCGGGGCGGGCTCGTAAGCTCAGACTCGGGCAGCGCGACCCGCCCCGCCCGCTCCACGCGGGGTGCCGAGCCCCGGGGCCCCCCGCAACGCCGAAGGAGTCCGGGGCTCCGGAGCCGGCGTCCAGGACCCCGCGCCTCCGCGAACTGCGGTCCAGGCTCCGCCCCGGGGGCCGGGCTTCCTCGGGCCCCGCCCTGGTGATGGGGAGGGTCCCGGCGGAGGCGGCGGGGGAGGGGTGAGTAGCCGTGGGCCGGGGGTCCAAGGCGCGGGGAGGCGCCCGGCGGGACGGGGGCGGGAGGATCCCGGGCGGGGAGCGCAGGGGCGCGGCCGGGCCCAGGGCGGCGGGGCTCACCGTCTGCTGCAGGTCCGGGATGCCGACGCGCACGACCACGGCGCTGGCCCCGGGGCCGTCCATCCCCGCGCCGGGGCCCGGGCCGGGGCCTCTCGCGCCGGGGAACGGAGCGCCCGGGGACTCCGCGCGGCGCCCCGGCCCCCCCTTCCCCCCCGCCGGAGCCCCGTCGGCCGCGCTGCGCGGGAGGGGGCCGGGGGGGGCCGGGGCCGGGGCCGGCGCGGGGGACAGCGGCTCCGGGGGCTCCGCTGGGGCGGCGGCGGCGGCGGCGGCGGCGCGGCTCAGCTGCATCGGCCCCGGCTCAGCTCGGCGCCTGCCTTCCCCGGGGGCGGGGGCGGCGGGGGGAGGGGGCCTGAGACGGGAGGGAAGCGGGGGTGGCGAGGGGGCTGCGCCGGAGGCGGGGGCCGGGAGGGCTCGGGGCCAGTGTGGGGGGGCGGCTTGCGGGGTCCCGGGTGGGGGTGGGAGGCTCGTGAGGAGGGCGGGGGCCAGGCCCCGGGGCGGGGGGCTGGGGGGCTGTGCCGGGGGGCGGGGGGAGTCCTAGGCCTCGGCAGGGGGGGAGTGGCTGAGCAGCGAGGGCCGCACCGCCCTTCCGCCGCTGGCGGGCATCCCCGGACCACCGGGGAGGGTGCGGCGGAGGAAGGGGTCCCAGAGCTGGGTTGGGGGCCGCGTTGGGGCAGGAAGACCGAGGTAGGGGGAGAAGGGGAAAGAAAAACAATTAATTTCCGGAGGTGGCGGTTTCTCCCCCCACTCCACCGACCCCCCAGCTCTGGGCCCGGAGGAGATGGCGGGGACCACCCCTGCCCCAGGCCTGGGGGTCGGAGGCTGGGGACCTCCAGAACGAGAGAGTCCGGGGCCGTTCCCACCGCCGCAGCGAGAGGCCCTCCGAATTAACCCTTTTGACCACGCCCTGGCGGCTCCCCCACCCCAGCCGAGTTTGGGGAGTTTGCTCCTGACTTCCCCCCAAGGCCCCCTGGCCGGCCTGGACCCTTCGCTTGTCGCCCCCTCCCCGTCACCTTAGCGACGGCGGGATGGGGGCGCGACCTACGGGGAAGGGCCTAGGGGAGGGGGCGCTACTAGTCTCCACCTGCGACTGGAAAGTGAATTTTAGTTTTACGCGTTGTCGTGGCAACGCGGGAGGGGGTGATGAGTGGGCGGAGGAGGGGGGAGCTCAGTAAAGAAACTAGCTCAGGCACCGCCGCCCCATCGGGGTGCACCAGGCCCCCAGCCCTGAGCGGCCTCTCCGAACTGTCCAGCTCTGCGAACCCCTGTTCCCCCAAGAGCAGCCCCTAAATCGAAATAGCTCCGACTCCCACGGAACTCTCCCAACCCACTTTGCCTGGCGCCCCCCCACCCCCAGCAGCCCCAGATCCCGGGAGAAGAGCCGCTGGCCCCCTGAGGGCAGAGCTTGAGAACGTTCACAGAAGAGCCCAGCCTAGGGAACCCCTCTGCCTAAAGAGAAAAGCAGCCCCTAATTCCCAGCCTCTCCAAGAGCAGCCCCAGATCACCCACAGAACGGATTTTGCCTGAGCCTCCCAGGAATAACCTTGAACTGCTGCGGCCCCCATACACGCAGAAAAACCTCCCTCCCCTCCCTTTGACAACCTGGACCATCCTAAGTACCCGGACTCACACAGAACAGGGCTTGACACTCCCCCACAGATCCACCTCGACCACCACCTGCCCAACCCAGAGCACCCCTGACCCCATGCAGAGTTTCTGATGAACCCTCTGCCCTCAGAACAGCCTCTGGTCAACCCCAGAGCAGAGCCTCTCTTCCCTGGGACCAGCCTGGCTTGCTCCTCCCGCCTCCCCAGGAGGCCACTGACCCTGCAGAGTGGAGCCTCCAGTGCGGTGTGTGGGTCACGTCCGTCCCGCGTTCTTCCCTCGCCTGGACGGTTATTGCCTGCCCAGGAACTGTGGTCCCAGCATCACAGACCTCCCAGGCCCCTCCCAGGGCCATTGGCCTGGCCTGAATGGTGCAGCTGAGGGTCTCCCAGGGGAGGGGGCAGGATGGGAGGGGTGGGGGTCCCGGGAGCAGGGAGCAGGAAGGGGCCCTCGAAGCTCCCTTATCTGCAGGAAGCACCTTGGAAGGCACCAGGGCTGGATTTCCTGTGCCCCAGCCCTGGAGAGAGGAAGCTAGTGCTTCCGGGCCCACCTCGTGTCTCCACCGTCTTCCTGCTGCTCTCTCTCTCCTCCCTAGTCACCCAGGCCCCCAGCTCCCTCCCAACCCCGCCTTCAGCCCTAACCCTAACCCTCCCTGCCATTCTTCCCACCACAACCACCACTTTGGCCAGGGCAACGTGGTAGATGGGGCCACACCTGTCTCCACGGCCAGGTCTTCCACAGCCCTGGGCCTCCTCCCTCTCCTTTGGGCTCTCCCTACAAGCCTGCCCTTGGCTGGATGGACCCAGAACCCCTGGGTGGCACTCCCCCTACCCCAAGACTAGACCTCTGGGCCCCGCCAGCCTCTTCCTGCCAACCCACCAGCCCAGGTGAATCCAGCCACCCCATGCCAGCACAGGCTGTGGCCACTGAGACTTTCAAGAGAAAAATCTCACATCTTCGACAACCAGCAACCAACAGATTGATGGTCCCCAGACTCAACTGGGTTGAAGACCCACTGCCCAGGGCAACACCGGAGCGCCTGCCCAGTGCCACCCTGAGCCTCAGTTCTGCACAGTGCCTGGCACGCGTGATGCTCACATCGTGAACAGAGTCCAAGCCTGAGTCACTCCCCAGCTCCACCGCCACCCCGGCAAACAGCAAAAATAACAATACCCACAAGCACTTACACACATGACGTCCTCCGGGTGGATTCCTGGAGAGGAAGCCAAGGGACACGGGGTGTCTTTGCCCCTTATTTTGTTGAGAATAATCCCCAGGTTCCCCAGGGCCTTCCCACACTTCCTGAGCACCCTCCCTCAGGCCCACCAGACCCCACCTGCCAGGCAGGGCCACCCTGGGCCCAGCCTTATCCCCTCTATTCTCCTGTTTCTGACCTGGAAGGTGGGGTTTTACAGGACACCACAGTCCCTAGCTTTCCCTTCCTTCCAACAGGGCCTAAGGATCCAGAAAGATCCGTCCTTCTCACCATCCCCACTTCTTCCCCACCTGCCCCCACACACATTTAGACACAAATAGGCCTCACAAGGCCTGGGAGAGCTCATGTGGGCAAAGCACCCAGAATAGTGCTGGACACAGGGGTGGGGGGGCAAACCAACCTCTGGATGGACCACAGCCCACTGCCCCGCTGCCACCCCCAGGCTGAGGCCACTGCAAGGGCCCTCCCTGCCTAAGCCCTCCTGTCCTAATACACTCTGCAGCAAGGGGGCTCACGCCCCCATCCACCTTCAGGACCTCGGGTGGGCCTGGGTTTGCCAACCACTGCCTTCTCTCTTATCAGAGCTGTCCCATCCAGACCTCCCACCATCGCTCCCCCGCCCCTCTCACCCACTCCTTACCCTCCCTCTCACCCAGCCCACAGTCCCTGTGAGGACCATTTCCCTGAAGATTCCCGAAGGCAGCACGAGAACCCTGTGCTGCTAACCCTGAAGGCACATTTCTGTCCTGTCCCACTTGACTTCCTGGGGAACGTCACCTCCCTTGGCTGCCACACCCTAGTCGGGGAGAGGTCCCTCTGCTCTCAGGCCATCCCCTCCACCTTCCTTTCTCAGGTGGACCTGCCTGGCTCCACACTGCTCCACTCCCTCCCTCTGGTCCCCTGTCTTCCTTCTGTGGCCTTCTGGCATACTCTGACTCACTTATTTGTGGTTTAGTGTCTTTCTTTCCCTGCCTCTCACTAGGCACCCAGTGGTGAGAGACCTTGGCCAGTTAGGTTCACTGATGTGGCCAAGCCCCTGGCACAGCCCTGATGCACGGCAGTGCTCCTGCTGTGTACTGGGTCAGTGCTCCAGCCTCCATCTACAGGTCCAACTTCCCCTCCCCAGAGCAGTCCCTCTTCCAGACTCCAGACCAGCTTGTGGAAGGCAGGCATCCTTGGAGGATCAGTTGATAATAACTGTCTGGATCTGGTGCCTTTTCAGGGAGTAGAGTTTTTATTGCTTCTAGTTACTGAATATCTATCTATAGTTATATTTAAGCTCCATTTTATCTTCACTCTTATTTAAATTTTATTTTTCTAGGAATACAAATGTATAAAAAATCAGCTTTTCATTTTTTGAACATCTCTGTTTTCTATTGTATTCTGTTCTTATGTTTATTTCTTTAGGATTCTTTTTCTTTTTCTGGTTTTTTGTTTTGTTTTGAGACAGAGTCTTGATCTGTCGCCAGGCTGGAGTGCAGTGGGTCGATCTTGGCTCACTGCAACCTCCGCCTCCCGGATTCAAGCAATTCTCCTGCCTCAGCCTCCTGCATAGCTGAGATTACAGGCACGCGCCACCATGCCCAGCTAATTTTTTGTATTTTTAGTAGAGACGGGGTTTCACCATGTTGACCAGGATGGTCTCGATCTCTTGACCTCATGATCCCCCCACCTCAGCCTCCCAAAGTGCTGGGATTACAGGCATGAGCCACTGTGCCTGGCCTGATTCTTTTTCTAAATTGAGCTGGATGCTTATTAATTTTCAGTGTTTCTTCATAAACCTATACATTTCCAAATGTCACTTTACTTATGTCCCTTAAGCTTTCCTTTTTATTTTTACTTTTTAAAGCTAGTCAAGTGAAACAGTGAGAGTGAAGAAGGAGCAGGTGACTCTGTGGCTGGTTATGATCAATTAAACACCGCTGCACTCTGTTGCCTTGACTGGTGGCATCAGAGCTCACTGCAGTCACCTACTCTCCCACTCGTGGGCTCAAACCGTCCTCCTGCCTCAGCCTCCCGAGTAGTTGAGACTACAGGCACACACCTGTCTTCTTAATTCTTGGCAAGTAGTATTTTAATTTCATTGTGTTCTGATTTTTTTTCTTTTCTTTTAAAGACAGAGTTTCGCTCTTGTTGCCCAAGCTGGAATGCAGTGGCACAATCTTGGCTCCCTGCAATCTCCACCTCTCCGGTTCAAGCAATTCTGTCTCAGCCTCCTGAGCAGCTCAGATTATAGGCACCGGCTAAGATGCCCGGGGTTTCACCATGTTGGCCAGGCTGGTCCTGAACTCTTGACCTCAGGTAATCCACCCACCTCTGCCTCACAAAGTGCTGGGATTACAGGCATGAGCCACTGCACCTAGCCATTTTGTTCTGATTTTCTAATATCAATTATATATTTTGGCTTGGGAATTGCTGAAAAGTATGCTTATTTATATTTTTTAATGTGCTGGGCGTGGTGGCTCACACCTGTAGTCCCAGCACTTTGGGAGGCCAAGGTGGATCACCTGAGGTCAGAAGTCCGAGACCATCCTGGCCAACATGGTGATACCCCATCTCTACTAAAAATACAAAAATTAGCCAGGTGTGGTGCGTGCCTGTAATCCCAGCTACTCTGGAGGCTGAGGCAGGAGAATTGCTTGAACCCGGGAGGCAGAGGTCGCAGTGAGCTGAGAATGCACCATTGCTCTCCAGCCTGGGCAATAAGAGCAAAACTGCTTCTCAAAAATAAATAAAAATAAAAATACTTTCAAATGCATATTTTTTTGTTGGGGAAGACTAGCCCTTGGTTATTGATATTTTTTACATTATGGTCAGAGAAGGTATATCCATAATACTGATATTTTGGGGTTCTGTGAACTCTATCCTTCTACATGGTCCATATTTGTAAACGTTTCCTATTTATTCAGTAGGAATTGTTGGATACAGGTATATCTATTCTTATCATAAATGTTGATTTCATCTATTTCATATATACTGATTCATAACCATGATACATATTAATTCACATATGCATTTTATTCATATATAACCTCCATTAGATCAAGCTTGTTTATTTTATTCACATATGCTGTACTTTCTAATATGCTGTCTGCTTGATTTATAAGTGACTGAGAGAGATGTGTTCAAATCTCTGCGGTGGCTGTGGCTTTGTCAGTCTCTTCTTTACATTTTGCCAGTTTTGGTTTTATAGACTTTATCTTTGTCATTAAATGCTAGCAAGCTTAGAATTATTACAGCTTCCTGATAAATTCATCCTTTTATCATAAGACCACTGTTTAATTAAGCTTTTTGTCTTAATTTTATTTTTTCCAACAGTGAAAATAGCTACAACACACTTCTTCGTGGCCTCGTGTATCTTTCTCCATCATTTTCCTTTTATCCTTTGTTTTATATTCTTCAGTGTGCTTCTGGCAAATAGCATATACAGCTAGATTTTTTTTAGACCCGGTCTGACAATTTTCAATCTTTAAGAGTCTGTATGTTGTAATTAATGATATGCTTTAACTGATTTTTACCATCTTATTTTGTGCTGTTGGTTTGTACTTTTTCCTCTATGCTTCTTTTTTCTTTCTGCCTCTATTGGATTGATCATGTTTTCTTTATTTCCCTTTCCTCCAACTCCCATTGGTTTGGAATTCATGTATTCTTTTTCTGTCATTTTTATAAATAAACTTTCCACATGCATAATTAACAAGGTCTAAAGTTAATTAGTGTCTCTAATATTCCTTCTGTGTAACAAAAAGAATTCAGAATACTTGGCCAGGCACAGTGGCTCAAGCCTGTAATCCCAGCACTTTGGGAGGCCGAGGCGGGTGGATCATGAGGTCAAGAGATCGAGACCATCCTGGTCAAAAAGGTGAAACCCTGTCTCTACTAAAAATACAAAAATTAGCTGGGCATGGTGGTGGGCGCCTGTAGTCCCAGCTACTCGGGAGGCTGAGGCAGGAGAATTGCTTGAACCCAGAAGGCGGAGGTTGTGGTGAGCCGAGATCGTGCCATTGCACTCCAGCCTGGGTAACAACAGCTAAACTCCGTCTCAAAAAAAAAAAAAAAAAAAAGAATTTAGAATACTTAACCTCCAATCGCTGCTCTCATCCTGGCTTTTGTCCATGTTGTTTTCACCTCCAAATTAGTCATGTCTGTTATTACTATCACTGTAGAAAAATAAATGCTTGTTTAGACTTAGTCACATGTTAACCAGTTTGCTTGCTTGCTTGTTACGGAGTTTCACTCTTGTTACCCAGGCTGAAGTGCAGTGGCGCAATCTCAGCTCACTGAAACCTCCAACTCTTGGGTGCAAGCAATTCTGCCTCAGCCTCCCAAGTAGCTGGGATTACAGGCATTGCCACCACACCCTGCTAATTTTTGGATTTTCAGTAGAGAAAGGATTTCACCATGTTGTTCAGGCTGGTCTTGAACTCCTGACCTCAAGTAATTCACCTCAGCCTCCCAAATGCTGGGATTACGGGCGTGAGCCACCATGCCCAGCCTTCTTGCCTCTCATTCTTTCCTTCTAGGTTTAATTTTCTTTTCCCTAAGAGTGCATCCTTTACACTTCATTCATTCATTCATTCTTGAGATAGGGTCTCACTCTGTTGCCCAGGCTAGAGTGCAATGTCACGATCTCGGCTCACTACAGCCTCTGCCCCCTGGGTTTAAGCGATTCTTCTGCATCAGCCTCCCAAGTAGCTGGGATTACAGGCATGCAACACCACGCCCAGCTAATTTTTAAAATTTTTTCTAAAGACAGGGTTTCCCCATGTTGCCCAGGCTGGTCTCAAACTCCTGACACTCAAGCAATCCACCTGCCTCAGCCTCCCAAAGTGCTGGGATTACAAGCATGAGCCACTGAGCCCAGCCTCTTGTTTTTAATTATTTCAAAAATATCTATTTTAAAATTTCTAGTCAATAGTTTCATTATGTGAACTGTTTGATGGTCTAATTCTGCTTTTTGTGACATCAACTAATTCTGACTCTTGGTGGATTGTTTCTGTGAGAATTTTATGACCAGGGGTTATGAGCTCGTGTTGGGCCTGGATTTATGTGAGAACCCTGAATAACCTAGATGTGCCCCTTCAGAGGCATACTGCTAGCCCACCATTTCTTTTTATGTCAATGTCTTAGCTTTGTGGCCAGGACCACAAAGGGTAATATAAACTCCAAAGCTGGCAATAATGAGTTTCACGGAAAAACCTTTTTTGCTTGGAGACTACCACAAAGACTTACGAAAATTGTTTAAATAAAAAAAATGTGCAGTGAAAATTAAGAAAATGGATTGTTCACCGAGGTTTTTAAGCACATACATGCCACTCTAACTGTATCACACATATTAGTTCATTCAATCATCACAAAGTCGCTGGGCGAGCCACTGTTACTGTCCTCATTTAACAAACAAACAGGTAACTTAACTTGTCCGTGGTCACTGTGGCTGGTCAGCAGAGAAGCCGGTGGCCATTGTGAGTCCTGCTCTGGGATTGTGCGTCTCTTAAAATGAGGAGACTTGTTCCACTCTTGAGATGCAGAGGAGAGATGTGAACTCACGAGCTACTGGCAACCAAGGTGCCAGCCTTGAGAAGAAAGCCACATTGAAAGAAATAGAGATTTGAGAGACAGGAAAGGTTCTGAAGGGGTTTGAGTTTCTAATTTTAGTCCCTAAAATCTGATAGCACTTTTGCTTTTCTTGCAGTTTGGTTTCAAGGAACAATAAATTTCCAAGAGAAGTTCAAGAGCTGGACTTAGAGCAAATGCCCAGCTCAGCCACCAGATACCCAGGTGACCTGGAAAGCTTCCTAGCCTTCCTATATCTCCAGGTATGCTCAGCTAAGCTGGGGACAATAATACAAACTGTTTCATTTCCTCAATCATTCTGGCCAGATGGCAGGCCTGGTTGAGATGCAAGGTATCTGCCTTCAGAGGCTCACAGGTCAGTTCTCAGCCTCCTGGGCCATTGTGTGGGCTACATGAGGTAAGTGTGTGTAAAATACTTAGCACATGCCTAGTACATGGTAAACACTAAATTTTATCATCAAAAGCTAGTTCAAATTTTGGAGTGTACCCTAATTGAGACTGTGTTCTCCCTATGTAGCAGCAAAACAGCATTGGAAGGGATGGCTGATCTTTGTTGTATATTCTTAGAGTGTTAAATTTAAAATATTATTTTGACATTAAAATGTAGAATTGGCTGGCCAACGTGGTTCATACCTGTAATCCCAGCACTTTGGGAAGCCAAGGTGAGTGGATCTCTGAGCTCAAGAGTTTAAGACCAACCCGAGCAACAAAGTGAGACTCCAGGTCTACAAAATTACAAAAATTTGCCATACGTGGTGGCAGCTACCAGGGCTATATTAATAAGGAAGAAGACAGAATGGTTATTAAAATAGGTGACTAGCAACCTGCGGCACTGGGAATGCAGTTCTAGATAACAGTGATTTACGCTCCATGTTTTACAGTTACTATTCTGTTGCCATCAGAACGAATGCTGTTAATCAACTTGTCATTCTTTCTGTGGGTAATCTGGTCTTTCTGGCTACTTTTAAGACCCTGTTGTCTTTAATATTACTCAGTTTCAACATGATCGGCTTAGTTGTCATTTTAGTTTTACTTTCCCTGTTTGGGATTTGCCATAATTCCTGGATCTGAGGATTTATGTTTTTCATGAAATCTGAAATTTTTCTTTTCGAATACTGAACTCCTCAGTATCTTTTATTTAAAATGCTAGACCCTCATGGGTGAACCTTGAAAACATGTGAAGTAAAATAAGCCAGATGCAAAAAGACAAACATGATATGATCCCACTTATCTGAGGTATAAGAACGAACAAATTCATGGAGACAAAGCAGAATAGAGGTTAGCAGGAGATGGTGTAGGAGAGAATAGGTAGTTCTTATTTAATGGGCACAGAGTTCCTGTTTGGGATGATGAAAAAGTTCTGTAGATGGTGACAATTATTTTGCAACACTGTGAATATACTTAATGAAATGTTAAAGTGTGAAATTGTAAAAAAGATTTAGGCTTTCATGGAACAACTTCAACATGGTCCCAGCTACTCGGGAGGCTGAGGCAGGAGAATTGCCTGAACCCAGGAGGCGGAGGTTGCGGTGAGCCGAGATGGCGCCATTGCACTCCAGCCTGGGTAACAAGAGCGAAACTCCGTCTCAAAAAAAAAAAAAGATTTAGGCTGGGCATGGTGGTTCACACCTGTAATATGAGCACTTTGAGAGGCTGAGATGGGAGAATCGCTTGAGCTCAGGAGTTCGAGACCAGCATGGGCAACACAGTGGGACCTCATCTCTTAAAAAAAAATTAAAAGCTTGGATTACATTATCAATTTATCAATTTTAAATAGATCTCTCTCTCTCTCTCTCTCTCTTTCTCGAGATGAGGTCTTACTATGCTGCCCAGGCTGGTCTCAAACTCCTGAACTCAAGCAATCCACCCAGGTTAGCCTCCTATTTTGGATAACATGGATGAACCTGCAAGACATTAAGTGAAATAAGCCAGGCACAGAAAGACAAACGCGGCATAATCTCACATATATATGAAACATAAAAAGAACTCAGATGTAGAGGGTAAAATGGTGGTTATCAGGGGCGAGGGTCTTGTTGGGGAGATGTTGGTCAGGGAAGTCAAAATTTTAATTAGATAGAAGGAATAAGTTCCAGAGCTCTACTGTACATGTTGGCTATAGTTAATAACAATGTATAGTGTACTTGGAAATTGTTGAGAGTATATTTTGTGTTATCACCATAAAAAAATGATGTGAGGTAGGCCGGGTGCAGTGGCTCACGCCTATAATCCCAGCACTTTGGGAGACCGATGCGGGTGGATCACAAGGTCAAGAGATCGAGACCATCCTGGTCAACAAGGTGAAACCCCGTCTCTACTAAAAATACAAAAATTAGCTGGGCATGGTGGTACGCGCCTGTAGTCCCAGCTACTTGGAAGGCTGAGGCAGGAGAATTGCCTGAACCCAGGAGGCGGAGGTTGCAGTGAGCCGAGATCGTGCCATTGCACTCCAGTCTGGGTAACAACAGCGAAACTCCGTCTGAAAAGATAATAATAATGATAATGATGTGAGGTAATACATATGTTGATTAGCTCAATTTAGCCATTCTACAATGTATACCTATATATTTTGAAACAATGTTACATGTGGTAAATATATATAAATTTCATTTGTCAATTTAGAAAAAAAACAGTCAAAAAGAAAAGATAAATATCTCCCAAAGAAATAATTAGACTGAGCAGAACAGTGAAGGTCAAGAAAGAAAGTTAAGAATAATAGGCCAGGCTAGGTGTGGTGGCTCATGAGTATAATCCCAGCACTTTGGAGTCTAAGACGAGTGGATCACCTGAGGTCAGCAGTTTGAGACCTGCCTGAACAACAAGGAGAAACCCCATCTCTACTAAAAATACAAAACATTAGCAGTGGCTTACACCCTATAATGCCAGCACTTTGGGAGGCCAAGGCGGATGGATCACCTGAGGTCAGGAGTTCGAGACCAGCATGACCAACAAGGAGAACCCCGTCTCTACTGAAAATATAAAAAATTAGCCAGGTGTGGTGGTGCATGCCTGTAATTCCAGCTACTTGGGAGGCTGACACAGGAGAATTGCTTGAACCCAGGAGGTGGAGGTTGCAGTGAGCCGAGATTACACCATTGCACTCCAGCCTGAGCAACAAGAGTGAAACTCTGTCTCAAAAAAAAAAAGAAGAAGAAGAATGGGCCAGCACAGTGGCTCACACATGCAATACCAGCACTTTGGGAGGCCCAGGCAGGCGGACCATGAGGTCAGGAGATCAAGACCATCATAGCCAACATGGTGAAACCCCGTCTCTACTAAAATACACAAAATTAGCCAGGCGTGATGGCGCATACCTGTAGTCCCAGCTACTTGGGAAGCTGAGGAAAGGGAATTGCTTGAACCCAAGAGGCAGAGGTTGCAGTGAGCCAAGATCACACCACTGCACTCCAGCCTGGTGACAAACCAAGATTCCGTCTCAAAAAAAAAAAAAAAAAAAGTGGGTGAAGGGGAGAAAGAAAGCAAAACACACTGCCATGTGTGTACCTATGTAACTGTCTTGCATGTTCTGCACATGTACCCCCAAACCTAAAATGCAATAAAAAATTAAAAAAAAAAAAAAGAATAACCGTTAACTCAGAATCAGAATCATAGTTCTCATTCATTTAAGCATGAGATTGGTGAAAAAATGTTTTCAGAAGAGGAAAAGGAAAAAATAATTTCAATTATTTTTCTTATTTTAAAAGATATATATTGTTCCTTTTCAAATCTACCAGGTTATTTCCTGTTCTTTCTGATAATTTCCTCAATTCTTGTTAATGTTTTCATTTGCATCATTAACCTCTGTGAACATGTTAAGCATTCTTACATGTTTTGTGATTTTTAGATTGTGATGTCATGTTCGACCAATCTTAATCTGTAGGAACCTGGAGGAGTTAAGTTGAAAGTACTCTCCTTCAGAGGTGATGTCACATTTCTTCCTGCCAAGTGCTTTAGTCCAGCCAACCTACAACCGCTTCAACTCAGTTCCAAACCACCAAGATATTTTGTATTTAAACCCCATGCCCATTTGGAGGCAAATTTATACATATAAATTGTCACTGATTTCTATCTAGTGGTAAGGTTATTTCATTTCTCAGCTAGGCATGGTGGCTGACACCTGTAATCTCAGCACTTTGGGAGGCCAAGGCAGGCAGACTGCTTGAGGCCAAGAGTTCAAGACTAGCCTGGCCAACATACTGAAACCCCGTCTCTACTAAAAATACAAATATTAGCCAGGCTGGGTGGTGCATGCCTTAGTCCCAACTACTCAGGAGGCTGAGGCACAAGAATCACTTCAACCTGGGAGGCAGAGGTTGCAGTTGCAGTGAACCAAGATCCTACCACTGCACTCTAGCCTGGGCAATAGAGGGAGACACTGTCTTAAAAAAAAAAAAAAAAAAAATTAATTTCTCTTTCCTGGAAAGCAGATTTTTTTCCTAGTCTTTCTAGCCTCTTACTGAGACTGTGGGTCTTCCAAAATCCTGATTTTACGTGAGCATCTGCATGGGCCCAAGTCTCTGTCTTTTGCCTCCTATGCAGCCTTAAAACCCAAGGCTTTCAGTTCCTGGTATTGAGAAAGCCCCAGATTTCATACTGATTTACCCTGTTGGTTTCACTTTCCTCTTCATTTTATGTCTCTCAGGATAGCCTTTGTTTTATTTTCAAGCTCAAATATGTATATGGAAGAATGCTTATGACCAGGAGTGGTAGCTCACGCCTATAATCCCAGCACTTTGGGAGGCTGAGGTGGGTGGATCATGAGATCAGGAATTTGAGACCACTAGCCTGGCCAACATAGTGAAACATCATCTCTACTAAAAATACAAAAAAATTAGCCAGGCATGGTGGCGGGGACCTGTGATCCCAGCTACTTGGGAGGCTGAGGCAGGAGAATCGCTTGAACCCGGGAGGCAGAGTTTGTAGCGAGCTGAGATTGTGCCTTCACACTCCAGCCCAGATGACAATGGGAGACTCCATCTCAAAAAAAAAAAAAAAAAAAAAGAAGGCTTACTATATCTTAATCAGCATCTAGTGCAATAGACAGGTTTTAGATTATATTGTTGGAAATCTGCTTTTCTTATTCAACCGCAGCACTGAGCACACATAAATGCTAAATGATTGCATGCTGGATAATCAACTAATGCAGAAATGAACAGAAAGACATTCTGCATTTTAAAACATTTATCTCACATGCACACACCCTGAGGTGAGGCCTGGCGATAGGTCAGTGACTAAATAGATCCCA